ATTTATGTTTCCATATTGAACAAAATACGGCTACTTTTGTTCTTTTTGGTGACAAACTGTTTGTTTCTCTCAAAAATTCAAAGAAGGTTAATTCAGTTCTTTATTAGGTTATGGTAACCATTATTTACTTCAGAACATTGGCTCATGTAATACAACCTTATAGCATGTTAATTCATGTGGTACCAAAAGAAAATTAGTTAACGAGAATTCTGTATTAGTTTGGCTCAAGAGTTTAGGGCACTTGCTTTAAACAAAGAATTAAGTCATACAGAATTTTAATCCACTTGACTTATCAGATTTCAAATTCTGAGTTAAGTGACCTAAATAAAAACAAACAAGCAAACAAAATAAGATTGGGTGATATAAGGTTTTCAGATGTTGTTAGAACTAATATATACGGATATATGTAAACCATTCTTTACGGGTTTTTTCTAGAATGGTCAAGCATATTGTATTATGTTCACAAACAACTTTCCACAGGACTAGACTTGCTCAAAGTTTTAAGATTAAATAAATTATACAAACAAATTAAGGATTAGGTGAACTATATATGTCTAGGGTAATTGGTCAAATTTCTTAGTGAATATGGCATCATCATATAGTAACAATATGCCGAAAAATACTACTATTAATAGTGTTATTATAAAACAAATTCGGAAACTATAGAATCGACTAAGTAGCATGACAAGTTCTACTACTTAGTTAAACTTACTAAGAGAAAAAAGACATAAAAGACTGCAACTTAAAGATATGACAAACTCAATAATCTCAAGTACGGATGCCATTAAGGGAATCCAAAGGAGAGAGAAGAAATACAGTTACGATTAATGCCATAAAATAAATAAATACATTAATTGATAAAAATAATGTTTAGGTTATTTTCTCATTACCCAAAGGTGATGTAAGAAGATATAAGGGTTATTTTGTCAATAAAAAATTTAGTCATAAAGATGACATTATCATATAGAGACCTTCTCTTTGGTATTATTGGAATTCCAGATTTTAAGACTATAGTCTATAATGGCATAGATGGTACATTTTGTTTTTAACCTTCATTAGATGGGTATTAAGAGACTGTTTTTTAATGGTGACATTTTGAGATAATCTATTTGGTACAACCAGAAAACTTTGTTTGATGGTTTGCAAATTAAAGAATTCCATCTATGAGCATAAATAAGTTCCCTGTTAGTAATTCAAGTTTCAGTAAGTTTTCATCTCATTTATTTTTGAGATGGATTTTGTGATGATTATAGACATCACATTTTCAGTGGGAGTTTAAGGCAATAATTAAAAAAATATATATATTTAGATATTTAGTAGCAACTATAAGGTTACGCGGAATCATTAAGACATTAAAGATTACACGCTCACATATCGAAGTTCGATCCAGTTAGAGATCTCATTCAGTATCCCGACTTCGATTTTGTTTAGTTGTCTTTATTGTCACAAGACTACAAATACAGTAAGCTCTTAAAAGACTACTTAAGTTATAATGTGACAATAATGTAACAATTCAGATACTCTAATAACAATGAACATTAAGTTCTTATTGTTAGATTTAAGTTCAGATTGACTAGATTTTCTATAAGCACATGCAGACAAACTCCAATATCGCAGATTACTTCACTTAGGTCATTATTGAGTATTTTGCTCAAATGAGTGTTGTGTTACGTGTTGATATGATGGTTTAGAGGGAGTTTGTAATTTTAGTTTTACTAAGGGTTCATACATTTATGAACATTCAGATATTAATACTGCAGTATAAAGTCTAAAGTTTAAAGTAAAGTTTAAGGTATAAGGTTAAGTTTTTTTTTTCAGTGTGTTTACATTCCGAAACTTTGGTTGATTTCACTAAAGTATAAGGAGGACAAGTTGGAAATGGCTATGTTAAAGATCACATGGCATGTATTTTCAATGCTACACATCCACATTTAATCTGTGTCATTTAGTTATGTTAATGTACGTGTCCACTGATGGGTTTAGTTACGATTAGTGCAACGAGTGCCCTTTGATCCTATGTTAATGTAATTAATGGACGGGATTGTTTCAGATATTTTTATGATAGCAAATTTTGAGCGCTCTTAAGTTTACGGTGTAATATACAATTATAAAGAATATATTTGATGTATATTCCAAGTAGGAGATTGTAAGATCTATGTGAACTTATACATTAAATATACAATTGTATATTACAGGTTATCATAAAATACTAGACCACATAAAGTGATCTAATTAAGTCAACCAAAGTTTGCGCTAATAATAATTAAATTAAGGTGTGGTCCAATACTGTGTAGAAACCCTAAGGCCCAATTTCCTATTCTGTGGTAGATGGAACCGAAAATCCTATTATATATTGGTTGTGGTCCCCGGATGAGCCGTCATGCCAAATCTCCGACTCCTCATTTGTTAGAGGTTCCCATGAGGGCTTGACAGAATCATCTGGAAGACCAAATCGGATCGATGTTCTTGCCACTTCAGATTAAGGTACGCTTCCGCTTTCGAATAGTTCTCAATAGTCTGATATGAAGGTCTCTACGGTATATGAATTCATTACAAAATTCTTAACTCCTGGTTGAATTTCTTACCCCCGTACTTGGAGATAATATTTGAGATCCTCGTTTAGTACCATCGGCTAGAATATATTCATTACTAGCTAATGAATTCGAAATGACATTTTTTTGGTAAGAGATTATAATCCTAACTACTCACACAGTTTGTGATACAACATAGGATTGTGAAGGAAGTCTGACAAACCAATTGGATTAGGAATAAGTTACATTAACTTTTATATAACGGTATATGTGACACTGGTTAAATGATTGACCCGTATTCAAGAAATCAATTGGATTAGGAATAAGTCACATTAACTTTTGTGTAACGCTACATGTGACACTGGTTATATGGTTGATACATGATCAAGTAATTAATTGCTAACACTTTTTTGGTACAAAGAGAGGAGGCACATTGGCATTGCCTTAATCGCTAACACCTTAATTAAATGGTAAGTGAACTCAGTTTGACACGTGATTAAACGCGTGTTAGTTAATATTATAAAGAGTGTAATACAAATATGTCAGAAAAAAATCTTTCATCAAACCGAACACTGTAATTTGCTAAATTGTTGTATGAAAGAAAGATAAATTCGCCGATGCATGATTTATCTAGATGATATCTAGAATTTTCAAATATTTTCTAAAACTAAATTGAAGTCAACCTCAAAACTTCGAATTAATTTGATATTTCTTCCCCCATCAAAGTTTAGTCGATTTGACGTAACGACCTGATTGGTGTGCTGGAATATTTGAGCCGTGAGATCATTAATTACATCTATCCAACGGCAGCAAAAATGAACTATGTCGATAAGAAGAAATACACGGACCTGTTCTAAAGCCATTTTAACAGCCATCACCTTCCTTTTTTCCCCATTTTCTTGAGAAAACAGGGCACAAACAAAATGGCTCAGACTTCCAGCGGAATTGATTCTAAACTCGATTATGTAAAGATTCATGCTGGCTTTCCTGAAGCAGTTCTTCAGCAGGAATTGAGATTCCTTAAGATGTTTATGGTCCGCCTTGCCAAGTGTGAGGAAGCAGGCAAAGACACCATTTTGATCGATGTTGTGATTGCTGCTCTTGAAGGTGATCTTTCTATTCTAATGAATTCAGCTTCTCTTATTTTGCTCAAAAATCTTAGGCAACTGAAGCCCAAAATTTCAAATATGTGTTCCGTTCTGTTCGATTCATTTAGATCCATGTCTTATTCAACTGATGAGATCCTGGAATTAGTCGATTGTCTGATTGGGAACTTCCATGATATAGCCAATTTGAAACCTGCTATTCTTGATTCTGTGAAACACCGAATTATGCTTCTTGGCAGAAAGCTCAGTTTCTTCAAAACCCTTATTGATTTCTCTGCAAAAAGATGCATCGAGCATCATAGGATGGAATACCTTTTGAATTATGTGAAGGGTTTGGTGCACGATGCCACAATTTTGTCCCTTTTCTGCTTGATCAAAGGGGAGGATGAAATGAAGGCCGGAGGATTAGATACTGTGTTTTTGGATCTGTGGCAGAAGTTCATTCCTGACAGTGCAGAGGTTAAGGACATGTTCCGAGGATTCTACCAAGCACCAAGTTCTATCAAGTTTGAAGCCGGACAAATTGCTACCAGTCTTGTCGATTTTTTTCTACTAGAAGGTTCAGTTGATCATTTTAGTGATCATATTGAAATCCTTAGAGAGGGATTGACATTCGTTATAACCTTCTGCATTGATCCAGTTGATGAAAAAGATGAAGCTCTTACAGATGCTGATGATGGAGAAATTGCGGAAGCCATCAATGAGGTACTATCTCTCATTTTGTCAATTCGCTTAGACGAATCAAAAGTTGATGTCTTTCGTCTCCTTAAAGCTATTGACGAAGTGAAGGTGAAGATTAGAAAGGTTTATGTCCTGAATTTGAATTCGCTAGACTTCAACTTTCCAATGACAAATGCTATGGGATTTGTCAATTTCTTGTTTGAGAAATTACAGGATATGGTGAATTGGAAACCCCATAGAATTGCTTTCACTAAGCGCCAAGTTTTGATAATTCTTGATGAGATTCTTTCTCTTAAACCGTTACTTGAAAATATCACGGAATTGCAGAAAGTGAGGAGGGACCTCAATGAGTTTTGGAAACAAATTATCAACACAATGTTCCTAGCAGATCACGTCATGAGCTCGTGTTTACTAATAGATCATCCTATTTGGTATGACATGTTACTGCTTTCTGATGTAATAGAGTCGATCAAGATCATCCAGAAAGAGGTGCAGAAGTACAATGATCAGATGCTCAATGCCAGAATGTTAAGTACTGCGATGGATTCTAGTCACATCCAGAGGAGGCAAGCAAATCCTTCAAGCCTTGAAGGTCCCATAGTTGGAAGGGAAGATGAGTCAGAGATGATAATTGAGAAACTCAACAGAGGAACAAAAAGCCTAGAAATTGTCTCCATTGTAGGTATGCCCGGCCTCGGTAAGACTACTATAGCAAAAAAGGTGTACAATGATCCATCTATCAAATATTACTTCCATATACGTGCATGGTGTTGTCTTTCCCAAATCTATAGGCTTAGAGAGTTGTACTTTGATATTTTAAGTGATGTGACTGGTGTAGATGATCACCGATCTTACTCCAACAATACTGATGATGATCTGGCTGAAAAACTCAGAAAATGTTTGAAGGGACGGAAGTATCTCATTGTTGTAGATGACATTTGGAACGTTGAGCCATGGGATCGCATGAAATATTCATTTCCGGATGACAACAATGGAAGTCGTATTGTATTCACTACTCGAATCCATAATCTGGTGTCACAAGCAAAGTTGAATTGTAGTCCCCATCCTCTTCGTTCACTTTCTAATGAGGAGAGTTGGGGATTACTGCAAGGAAAACTATTCCATGGGCATAGTTTTCCCCTTGATGATGAACTGACAGAAATAGGTAAAAATATTGCCAAAAATTGCAACGGATTGCCTTTAGCAGTGGTTTTGATAGCAGGTATCTTGGTAGGCAAAGATAAAGAGTTTTGGCAGCATACTGAATATCATACAAGTTCACAAATTGTTAGTGAAGGGTGCATGGATGTGCTTGAACTAAGCTACAACCATCTACCAGACAATTTGAAACCATGCTTCCTCTATTTCGGAGCATTTGAAGAGGACAAGGTTGTTAGAGCCCAAAAGTTGATGAGTTTGTGGATTGCAGAAGGGTTGATACCCAGAACGAGCGAAAAGAGCTCATATGAAGTGGCAGAGGATTATTTGTCGGATCTAATCAGTCGAAATTTAGTAATCCTTAAAGAGAGAAGTTCCATTGGTGGCATAAAGTCATGTGGTGTTCATGATCTACTACACAATCTATGCTTGGTGAAAAGTCGAGAAGCTAACTTTTTGCACCGGGTACAAGACAGTGATGTTTCTCAATCTTCCTCGAGTCCCAAAAAGTTTGACAACTATCGCTTATTCATTCATGCTGGCTGGTCCAAGTTCGTTGATACTAAACCTGCAGGTCCATTTGTTCACTCTCTAGTCCTTTATGGTGACCAGACTGAATCAGATAAATTATCACGCGCCATTATGGTTTTCAACAGCTTTAATCATCTTAATGTACTGGACTTGGGGCTCATCTACATGTTTGGCGGTTTTCCTCAACAAGTAACTTTGATGGTCCATTTGAGATACCTATCAATTTTGTGCAGCGGTAGAGAACTTCCAGAGTCCTTTGTTAATCTTTGTAATCTGGAAACCTTAGTTTTCCCACGTATGATGGTAGGCTTGCCGGAATTCTTTTGGAAAATGAAAAGCTTAAGGCATGTACATATCGGTGAGCTGGGGTTGGATGGTGTTGAAGATCATGAATATGGTCAACTAGAGAACCTGGAGATTCTGTCAAAACCATTTTTTGTTTTAACAAATAGATGGAAGGAACTATTGAGAAGGTTGCCTAGGCTTCGAAAGCTCAAGTTTACACTTGATCCATTTGGTTCCAAGTTTCCTGAACTGGGCAGCCTCCTGACGCATCTCGAATCATTGACTGTGGTGTCTGGTGCTAGGGTAAAGGGCAGGCTAGCAAAATATAAGTTTCCGGCTTTTGATTTTCCCGTCAGTCTCAGAAAATTGACACTGAAAGGGTTGAAAGTGCAATGGAGTCTCATATCAGAAATAGGGCAGTTGCCTAATCTCGAGGTTCTCAAATTAAACTGGTATGCATTTAAAGGAAGCAAATGGGATGTGGAAGATGGCAGATTCTTGAAACTTAAGCACTTGGAACTCAATGTGTTGGACTTGGAACAATGGACTGTCCAAGATGAGCCATTTCCCCGCCTTGAACGACTTATAGTGTCAAACTGCGAAAAACTTCGAGGGATTCCATCCAGTTTTGGGGACATTCCTACCTTGGAGAAGATAGATATGTATCAGTGTCCCCGAGCTTCGAGATCAGCGTGGAAAATTTTCATGGAACAACGAGATGTGGGAAATGATGTCTTTGAACTTGACATTGATGTAGCGTATAATGATAGTGATGGAGATGATGAAGTCTCAACAGATTATGGCTGACAAAGTAGGAGAATGGGATACGCAGGGATATACGTAAGAGAGTACTTATTTTAATTTTCTTAATTTAACTCATGTCCTGTTTCTTGTGTTTACCACTGTATGTATAATGGTATAGAACCAAGAAGTTAACAAATCCCTGTCAATCAGAATTCTTGGTCACACTATTGTTTATAAGAAGTCATTCAGGTTTCTTCCATGATATGGTTAGTTTATACAATGGCTTATAATCTACTGCCAACTTTATATTTATCCTTTTCTTTAAAAAAAAAAATTAATCTATGGATATTCTTTTAATTGCACTCTGAAATTGGAGGGTTCATTCATCTGCCTTGATTTTCATATGAAGAAAGCGAAACTAATTACTTTTCTAAAGACATGTCATTGTAATGTATCGTGTGTTGTAGGTTGGAGATTGGATATTCGATTCCTATTCTCATTTGAATTTACAAGTTCAATCCTAACATTATGCAAAAATTAACACCTGTGATGTAGTCTAATCTGTTTAAAAAAATATTTCTACCATATCATTACATTTCCTTTTCCTTCTTCAATTACAAGAACACCTGTCCTATTACTGCTATATTGAGTGAGTGTTGCAGCATTTTTAATTAACCAGCTAGCTGAGTTGGTACATTTTATGCATTGAATAATCTCTCCAATATTATTAGTTAAATCAAATGATATCATGCATTATTAAAACAGGACCTCGTTGTAGTATACAAGTTACCACATTACCATCAGTTAGATCACTTATGCATGATTTGAGAGTTGACTAGCTTAAAGGCTTAAAATTCTGCAGCGCATTTCTCAGCAAACCTTTTCTTCCGTGACCAAAGAAGCAGAAAAGAAAAAGTTAAAAAGAAAAATGGCTCATACTTCCTCTGGAGTTGATACTGTTGTTGAAGAACTGAGTAGGCTAGACATTCAATCTGGCTTTCCTGAAGTTCTTCAGCAAGAGTTGGGATTCCTGATTTCGTTTATGGCCCACCTATATGATTGTGAGGAATCTGAAAATGAAATTCATCTTCACAACGGAATTGTAGCTCTTGACGTTCTACTGAAAGAAGTTGGTCTTATCAATGAACTCGGAAACATCCGTGGCATTGAAGATTGGGATTCTGTGCCTCCGACTTTGCTGAACAATTCGAGCTGAGCCAGAGATTAGCGAAATCTGTTCTCTTTCTTTGGACTCATTAAGATACATCTCCTGCTCAAGGGATGATACCCTGCGACTTTTCAGTTTTCTGGTTTGGAATTTCCAGAATCTTGCATACTTGAAAGCTGATGTTCTTGATTTTGTGAAAGACCAAATCGTTGTTCTTTGGAGAAAACTCAGTGTCCTGAGAACCCTTGTTGATTTCTCGGCGAAAACATGTACTGACCATCAGAATCTGCAAGAATTCCTGCATTTTGTGAAGGATTTGGTGGACAATACATCTTTTTTGTCCCGTTTCTTCTTGCTGAAAGGGAAGGAACCATGGCCAAAGGACTGGAAACTGTCTATTCTGATCAATTTGACAAGTGTATGCCTGGCACTTTAGACATAACACATGCTCATAGGACTCCTCAAAGCTTCAAAGTTATCAAGATCTGACAAGTTTCGCGTTGGTGAAGTTGTCATCAACCTTGTTGATGTTCTATTACCAAAAGGTTCAGTTGATCCTTTGAAGGAACGTACTGAAATCCTTGAAGAAGGGTTGATATATATCATATCCTTCTTCATAGATCCAGGACAGGAGGATGTAGCAAACGCCGGAGATGGATTTTTCGTACGAATTGATGCTGTTATTCCTGAGGTGCTGTTAAATTTCTACAATTCAATCACACTATGCATTTACTGTATTTCTTATGGGAATATCAATCAATTATCTACGTAGGTAATTCTACATTCTCATTATTGCGATTGATACCACATTTTTTTAGACAATCATAGTAAAAGACTAATTTCTGACACACTTGATTAAGTAATCTTATTCATAAACAAGAAGTAATCTTACATGTAATTCTATCATTTAGGTAAAATTTTCATATAATTCAGGATGTCACAGGTACTATCTCTCATTTTCTCTATATACATGGACGAAGCAGAAGTGGATATTTCTAGTCTTCAAGAAAAGATCAGCAGAGTGACGGCAGAGATTAGAAGCTTTTATGTGCCGCTAATGAATTCATCAAACTTAAATTTTCCGATGACAAACAGTGAGGGTTTCATCAATTTGTTGTTGGAAAATTTGGAAGAAATGGTGAAACGGAATCCCAAGAGGATTGCATTTGGAAGCATCAAATTAAGCTGATCCTTGAGGAGCTTATTTCTCTAAAACCATTCCTGGAAACTATCTTAGAGCTGAAAAAAGAGAGAAGAGATCTAGAAGCTCTTTGGAAACAAATCATCGATACGATATTCCTAGCAGAGCATGTTATCAGCTCATTTCTAATCATAGATGATCCTATTTGGTATGATATGTTACGTCTTTCAGATGTGAAGGAAACTATCAAGATCATTCATATTGAAGTGAAAAAGTACATGGATCAGTTGCACAAGGCCGAAATGTCAAGTGATGTAACAAGTTCTAGTCGTGTCTCCATGAGGCAAGCAAATCCTGCAAGCCTCAAAAATGTTGTGGTGGGTCGGGGAAATGAGGTAAAGGGGATGATTGACTCAATAGAGGAACAAAAAAGTTTGACATTGTCTCCATAGTAGGTATGGCCGGTCTTGGGAAGACCACAATAGCCCAAAAAGTGTACAATGATTCTCGTATTAGGCATTACTTTAACATACGTGCTTGGTGTTGCGTTTCCCAAGTGTATAAACCTAGACAATTGTACTTTGACATTTTAACTGATGTGATTGGTGACGATGCTCACCAATCTTACTCTGCTAGGACCGATGATGATTTGGCTGAAACACTCCGGAAAAAGCTGAAGCAACAAAGGTATCTCATTGTGTTGGATGACATTTGGAGCATTGATACTTGGAATAGCCTAAAAGATTCATTTCCGGATGATGGTCAGGGAAGTCGTATCGTGTTTACTAGCCGAATCCATGATATGGTATCACAAACAAAGCCGAATTGCAGTCCCTATCCTCTTTGTTCACTTTCTGATGAGGAGAGTTGGGAGTTGTTGCGAGGGAAACTATTCCATGACCCTACTTCTCCTCTTGACCATTGGCGAGTCCATATCCACCACCGATATTGGACCGACCCATTAATCGAGTAAGGGGTTCGACTGATTCTAATAGGGCGGCAACATGACTAAACCCTACTAGGATTCAGGTTTCCTTAGGCTATTCCTATGCCTATAAATAGGGATGAAGGCACCACAATTGAGGTACGCTATCTCTAGCACCAATTCACATATACACATTATTTCGCAACCCTATTTTCTGACTTAAGCTTCGGAGTTTCTACCCTCGGAAGGCCCCGAGACTCTATTTTACTGGAAACCCTAATCGGAGTTCCACCACCAAGCCGGAGGTGCAATTCCAGGCATCGTCAAGTGGCACGCCCAGTGGGACGCGAGAATTAGGGTTTGTGTCAAAAAGCTTTCCCAAGCTTTCAGAACCTTTTCAATCCGCTGCCACCACTCCAAGCTAGGGTTTTTCCAAGACAGGATGGCTATAATCGATAATCCTTAATCCAGTACCGCATCAACCGGTAGGCGTGAAAGTCCCAACGATGATGAAACCCTAGCGGGATTCCAGGAGAGGCAGAAGCGGAACAGAAACGACCGGCAGTCGAAAAGAAAGAAAACCTCCACAAAGCCAACTAGTCATGGAGGTGAGGGGGAGGGAGATCTGGAAACCCATCGCAAAGTTCTTGATCCATACCAAAAACAGCGACTAGCCGAGATCGAAACAGAATTGAAGAATTTGAAAGACAACAATTCTTTTAACTAGAGGAAAAAGAAATATGTACTAGAGGAATACCAACGTTGTTGTTTGCTTGGCCTCCCCAATCCCACGGATCAAGAGTGACGATACCTGGAATTGTACCGCCGGTTTAACGGTGGAACTCCGGTTAGGGTTTCCTGCAAAACAGACCCTCGGGGCCTCCCGAGAGTAGACTTTCCGAAGCTTAAGTTAGAGAATAGGGTTGCGTAATAATCTGTATATATGAATGGTTTCAAAGATAGCGTACCCCAATTGTGGAGAGACTAACCCTATTCATAAGCGTGGAATTACCTCCCAGGAAGGCGAATCCTATCAGGACACAAATTCCTAAACCGCCTCCACTAGGTTGGCTAAGCCCTAATTGGTGGATGGCCCGATCTAGTAATCCTTGGTGGATCTGGACTCGTCAAGTGCCCCTGTCAAGTGTTAGCTTTATGAAATAAACAAGACTTGACATAAAACAAATAATACTTGGACTCGACCCAAATTGCATGAAGCAAGGTGAATTGGACAAGTCTCAGCCCAATGGCTACAAAATTGGATCATACGAGTTACTCGCGGGTTAAGGTCCGAATCGAGAAGTGGACCCGATTCAGAAATCCCGCCTAATCTGTAAATATGCCTTGATAATGTGCACCTTTCCCAAACGGCGGCTCTGTCATCATTACTGCCCTTGAACTCCGCCAAAACCGTCAATACGTGGGAGAGAAATTCGCTTATATCAAGAAGGAAACCAAGGGTTTTCCTTTCTCCTCCTTTTTTCAAAACTCGGAATCTAAAAACACAGAAGCACCTCTCCTGCCCCTATGTGTAATCGGTTGCTACTTAATCACTTGTTCTGCCGCTAGAAATTGCAGCACCTGCTACAACTGAGAAATAGTTGCATGTTCTTAGGGCTAAGGTTTCCCCTGTACCCTTTGTTTGGAGAAATAGTTCAGTATTACCAGATCCCCCTTGCTCGATTTATACCGAACTTGATATCGGCAGTCCTCAAATTCACGAGGATTCGTGAGTTGAGGAAGGTTGAACCCCTACTATTAGTGTGGAGGTACTTTTTCAAGGTTTGCGTCCCCTCGACAAAAGACAAGGACTGGTATAACGTCAAAAGAAATCCTACGTCGGGCGCAAAGCAGATAGTAGAACTCTTTGACAGTTCTCCAATGTGGAAACCAAATTACTTGTTTGTACAGGCGCCAGAGGAGTTTTGCGTAACCTGGGATCACCGTGAATCCCGAGAGATGGGCGTCATAGCTGATGTCTGGTCTAAATCCGACAAGGCCAGGATCGAGCACCATAGAGATGACATTACTGCTCTGGAATCCTTCGAGAATTATCTCTACTGGACAAAAGTGTAGCAGTATATTCCCCCAATCACTGTCGTGGATAAAAAAGGTACTAACTTCTCTTGTGTATTCTTTTTGTCATAGGTTATGTCGTCGAGCAAGAACACCATTGGCTTGTTTGGTGACGCCAGGATTTTTGATATTAAAAATTCAGATGACGAAGAGTCCTCCACCCAAGTTAGCCGGAATAGGAAGCTGAGAAGGTTGGTGAAAGCGTCCAAAGCAGGCACTAAGTTGAAGAAGAAGAAGAAGAAACAGCAGACTCCAGCTGCCGAGAAGGAAGCACTGATCGAGGAAGTTACCCCGGTCGAGGAGGATAGGCCCGTGGAAGGTAACATTCCGGTCGGAGAAAACATCACCGTCGAGGAGGGTGCCCCCATCGAGGGAAATAAGGCTATCAGGAGCAGTGTCCCTCTGGAAGGAAGTGGGAACCCGGACACAGGGTGAGATCCCAGCTGGTTCACAACTTTCGCACCCTCGCTCTCTCGGAGGAAGGATGATGCTGAGAATCCGGATGCTTCCCCCGGGTCCTCGTCCTACACCGCAGCCGCTGCAATAATCGAAGAAGTGGCTGAAACGATGACAGATGAAGAAGCCTTAAAAATGGTAAGAGTCGCACTCATATGTCCTTTACCTCTGTTGCTTACAACTGGTGTCTCGATTTGTGTTGATCTTTTGTTTGTAACCTTGACACTTAACCACCTCCCTAGCGATCATTCTCATGCGTAAAAAGAAGCTAAGGGAGGAGATCTCCAGCCTAGAGCTCGAGAAGGGGTTCCTCGAGCACGAAAAGGCGATTAACGAGGAAGCCAAGAAGAAGGAGCAGCTAATTCAAGCTGCTAAGGAAGAAGAGCTAGCCAGGGCCCAAGCTATGCATATAGACCTCAAGGCCAAGCTGAAAGAATATGGGGAAACCCATATACCCAAGGTGGGGTTGCAGGCATGGGTGACCGCCTTTTGGAATAGGATGTTGCCTACGGGCGGGATGGCTAACGTCATGGTGGGTATTAGTGAGGCGGCTATCGCCTTGGGTGGCCACGACATGGCTATTGCTGCTCTGGAGAGGATGGAGTCGGGGAAGCCTATCAACGCTGGGTGGCTGCAATAGTTCGTAAAACCGCATCCCTGAAAGACTCTTCACGAAGCAATACAGAATGGGTTGCTGCGGCTGTCCACCGAGCAAATCCCCCTGTTTGAGCCTTTGTGCGACGCCATCCCCCGGATGGGTTCACCTTCGGAGATCACTGCCTTCAAAGGAGATGCCTCAACGGTGCTACCTGCTGAACCCTGGGAAGAGATGAGGGTACCAGAGCTGGACCGAGATTTTATTGGAATCGAGTTGGCTTCTGATAGAGACTCCTTAGAGGAGGTCGAGGAGGAAGAGAAGGAAGGCCAAGAGCAGGAAGTCGAGGAGGATCCAGTCGGCGAGGAAGAGGAGCACCCGACAGGGAATCCTGTAGAGGAGGCCAGTGGGAGCCTTCCAAATGTCCCGCCCAACCCAAACACTGTATGAGGCCTTTATCTAGTAATAGGGTTTTTACCTCTTGGGCTGTAGACTTTAACTTCATGTAGTATTTTGTGAATGAACTCTATTAGTTTGTAATTTGTGGAGTATCTTTTCTTCTTTCTCCTTTTGTCATTTTTAATGCTTCCATGCTGATTGTGCCAGGAGCCCTATTACGTCCACACCGTGCATCTGTTGATCCTTGAAGCAGAAGAGATTAAACAATTCCCTATGTACGCCATGATTTCGTCGGCGTTAAGAAAATTCGGGAACGTCCACAATACCTCCATAGTGGGAGCAATCGAAAAAGAATTTGCGGATGCTGTTCAAGTCTATAACGTGCAAGTGCATTCCCACTTGGTTCGACATTTTAAGCAAAAGGAGGAGGAATGGAGACGCCGACTCCACCAGTATGACCTCGACTTCCAAGACTCCCTGATTTTAGAGGCCAATATCAGCGACGAGATAAAAAAGCTGAAAGACGAAAATGCTCGACTGAGGAAGCGAGAGAAGATCACGGTGTCTCCATGGTTCCTCGAGAAATTCAACTTGCTTGCCTTGGTCGAGAAGCAGATAGAAGTTTGGACGGAGTGTTTTATAGCTGCCATCAAACTCTTAAAGAGGAGGACTAAAGAAGCAGAGTTCTATTCAAAACAGGTTGCTGTGCTGCAGAACATATTGGTTGACAATGAGATCGCTCTACCCATCTTTGACGATCTCGATCCAAATGAGGTGGCAAAAGAAAGGACCACTGCTGAGGAATTCCTGCTCAAAATCGACGAACAAGACTGGGAGATTGAAGACTTGAAGGATAAGCTAGGCCATTGTATTAACCAGCTTAGGGCCATTGGGTTCTCTGGGGTCATTAAGCCTTCCCGAGTCACAACCCCAGAGGAAAAAATCTTAAGATTTAAATGTATAGTGCTATAATACATTCTCCTCAGGCTTGTGTGAGCGATTAAATGTATAATAGTGTAATACATTCTTTTCGAGCTTGTATAAGCGTCGATTATGTAAATGTGCTCGAGTCACAATTTGTAAAAGCGCTTTATGGGCTGGATGTAAAGTACACGGCGTTGTCGAGGAACTAGGTATGGGTCCCTCAATAACATATTACCCTAATCTATGGTGGATACGAGGGAAGGTCCTCGGTTTGTGTGTTCGGATGTTGAATACATGGCACGATCGAAGATGGCCCTAAAGAGGGTGTCCATCTCACTGACTAGTCATGAAACAGTGTCGACACATTTAAAGTATGAAAATTATGTAACGACTTTTATTAATAATTGCCCGAGGACCCGGGATAGCATTACATACGAAGGAAGTGAAAATAACAAGCCATAGAGCAAGCAAGATAGCACATAGCATAGAATAATTTAGATATAGAACCTGCGAAGGTTCTGAATGTTCCACCATCGAGGAAGAGTGGTCTCTGTGTCATCTGTTGTCTGCAATCGATAGCTTCCAGATGGGGAGACCTCAATGACTCGATAAGGTCCTTCCCAATTTGCAAATAGTTTTCCCTGGGCCTCTGCTCGACTGGCTTCATTTTTCTTGAGTACTAGATCCCCGACTGTGAAGTCGGTGCTCCTGACTCACTTATTATAATGTTTTCTGAGGATCTCTTTGTACTTTGCTTCCCGGACTTTTACGGCGTCTCGCTACTCCTCGAGCAGGTCGAGGTTAGTCAGGATGTCTTCGTTATTGGTCGTGTTGACAAGCTGATGGTTTGAGGACTGGCAAGACCGATTTCCACTGGGAGAACCGCGTCCATTCCATAGACCAGACTGTAGGGTGTTTCTTCTATAGAAGAGTGAGCTGTAGTGCGATATGCCCATAGGACGTGAGAGAGTTCGTCAACCCAAGCACCTTTGGTGTCGTGCATCCTAGTCTTGATTCCATGTAAAATAGTTCTGTTAATCGACTCAGCCTAGCCGTTTGCCTGGGGATGAGCAACCACGGAAAATCGGCACTCGATCTGCATCTCTGCGCACCATGATTTAAACGGATCACTCTCAAACTGAGTCCCATTGTCTGATACAATTATCCTGGGCACTCCAAAACGGCAAACCACGTTCTGCCAGAAAAGATTCAACACCTGTCTTCCGGATATCGAGGCCAATGGTTTTGTTTCTACCCACTTGGTAAAATAGTCTACTGCCACGATGACCCATCGAGTCCTCCTGCCCTTTTGGAAAAGGGCCGATGATGTCAGTGCCCCACTGGTAGAATGGCCACGGGCTTTGGATAGTGACCATCTCATGTTGTGGCTGTCAGGTGATAGGCGAGAACCATTAACATCTATTGCCCTTTTGCACGAATTGGTATGCGTCTTTGAAGACTGTCGGCCAAAAGTATCCTGCTCGAAGAACCTTTTTAGCTAGTCCTTGTGCTCCCATATGGGCGCCACATAAACCCTCGTGGACTTCCTCGAGGACGTAGGCTGCTTGTCTGGGGCCGATACACTGTAGCCTTGGCAACAAATACCCGTACTTGTACAAGATTCCGTCCCTCAGTGCATACTTGGTTGCCTTTAGTCTTAGTGCTCGAGCTTCTGACTTGTTCTCGGGTAGCACCCTGCTTTCGAGGAACTGTATAAATGGAGTCATCCACGTGTTGCCCTCGTCTGTGACAGCGAGAGAGACTTGAGGACATATACTAGGTTCGGGGAGCATCTCAACCCACACCTTATGACTTAATTGTGTGAAGTTAGACGAAGCTAACTTACTCAGGGCATCGGCTCTTTTGTTGCTAGTTCTGAGGATGTGGGAGATAGAACATTTCTCGAACTTGTTCTTGAGTTGGAGGATCTTTTCAAGGTATGGCCGGAGATGTTCTTCCCGGACGGTGTAATCACCGTGAATTTGTTTAACCACCACCTGGGAGTCGCTAAAAACTTCCAAATTCCGGACTCCTAACCTTAGAGCCATGTTTAGCCCCGTTATCATTGCTTCATATTCAGCCACATTCTTGGTTACCGGGAATCCAAACCTCAGAGCGTAGGAATATTCAGCCTCGTATTCTCGCATTTCTTCGATTTCTTGTGGTGCAGTTGGTTTGGCCAATATAATCCCAGCTCCTCCCCCATCCTAGCAAGATGAGCCGTCGACGTAGAGAGTCCAAGCTTGTGGATCTACGGGAGTTTGTTTCTGTGGTGGTGTTTTTTGTAGTGGCTCCGTCGCGCTGTCTGAGGTGCGGGGCGTCTCGACAAGGAAGTCTACAAATGCCTGCCCTTTTATAGCTGACCTAGGCTTATACTCGATATGGTGTTCTCCTAGTTCGACGGTCCATTTCATCATTCTGCCCAAAGCCTCAGGCTTGAGAAAAACTTGTTGTATAGGTTGTTCGGTTAGGACCTGAATCGGGTGAGCTTGGAAGTATGGACGAAGTCAGATTTTCCATGGGGGTGTATCGAGATTCGGCTGTAGGACTTTGCTCACAAAGTAAACCGGGATTTCTTTGCCGTTTTTTTTCTGGATGAGAACCGCGGATATAGCAGTTTCTCGAGCAACCAGATAAACATACAGGATTTCTCCCGGCTCTGGTTTAGCTAACATGGGAAGTTGCTTGAGATGCTCTTTCAAGTCCTGGAAGGCTTCCTGACACTCTTCAGTCCACGCAAAACTTCTTCCTTTTGCAATGTCTTGAAAAAGGTTAGGCTTCTTTCTGCAGCTCGAGATAGGAACCTATAAGGATCCCATAAGCTTTTGCACTTCTTTGGCTGTTTTTTGGGGCTTTAATGGATAAAATCGCCTCAACTTTTTGCGGGATTAACGCTTATTCCGTCTTTTGACACTTGAAAGCCTAGGAATTTTTTGGAGCCAACGCAAAAAGTGCACTTCTTTGGATTGAACTTCATGTTAATTGCCGGAAGAATTGTGAAGATTTCTCTTATATCCTCGACTACCCTGTTGTCGAGGTTGCTCTTTATGACCATGTTGTCTACATAAATTTTGATATTTCGCCCGATCAGGTCATGGAAAGCTCTGTTGACGAGATGCTGATAGGAGGCTCCAGCGTTTTTTAAGCCAAAAGGCATTTTTTCGTAGCAGTACGCTCCAATTTTTGTGATGTAAGCCGTTTTCTCTGCATCTTCCGGGACATAAGGATCTAGTGGTATCCTTTATACGCGTTGAGGAAGCTAAGTGTTCTAAAGCCAGATATCCCCTTGACCATCTGGTCGATGACGGACACAGGATAACAATCTTTAGGTCAATGCTTGTTAAGGTCCGTCTAACACTGACACATGCGCCAAGAATTTTCCGGTTTTCGGACAAGGACTGGGTTGGCCAACCACGTTGGCCAAAGGACCTCCAGAGTATGTTGGCGCGGACCAATTTGAGCATTTCCTCATTGATGACGTCATTGCGGTCGCATGCAAAAATTCTCTTTTTCTGTTTGACCGGTTTGATATTGGGGTCGACATTCAACCTGTGATTGATAACTTCTCAAGGAACTCCGGTCGTATCAGATGGTGACCAAGCAAAGATATCTCGAAATTCGCGTAGTAAGGTGATTATCTCAACTTCTGGCTCTTTCTCGTCCAGGATCAACTCTTCTGTCTTGCTGCTTAGTGGTGGGTGCCGGCCGCGGTCGAAATACATGTCATGTTCTTCCTCTTTACATCCGATTGGCAGCACTCCTTGTTGAACAGAGTAACACCCCGACGTGGTGATGGATGGCTCTGACTTTACTCTTTTCTTTCTGATTTTCCTTGCTGTGAGTAGGCATTCTCGAGAACTGCGTTGGCAGCCTTGCACAATTCCTATCCCGTACTCTGTTAAAAATTTCATGAGTAAGTGGTAAGGTGACCAAACAGCGCGGGCTTGATACATTCATGGCCGTCCCAGGATCACATTAAATGGCGAGGGTGCATCGATTATGGTGAAATCTATTGTTAGAGTTACCATTCGAGGGTGCGATCCTACCGTGATAGGAAGCCTGACAATCCGGCTAGGGATTATCGTGTGCCCTGAAAAGCCCATCAGTGGTAATGTTGCGGGATGCCAATCTGGATTCTTTACATTCATCCTCTTGAAACACTCACTGTATATATATCCACTGTACTTCCGTGTCGACATATGCTCGACTTACTTTGATGTTTCCTATAATAGTCTCGATAACCATGGGGGCACTGTGCGGACAGATGTCCGGTACGACATCACTGTCTGTAAAGACTATTGCCTCTGTCCCCTTGAAACGCTTGTGACTTGGTTCCTGGGGCGGCGCTTTAGTCACTTCTCGAAGTGATGCTTTCATGGCCATTGTGGACAAGACTTCAAGGGGCGCGCCGTAGATAGCTCCTACATTGTGAGTGATTAGTTTGGTTGGATCCGGCGGTGGAACTTGTTGAATTGGCTGTGGCTTGGCATCTAGAGATTGTTGGGCAGGCTGCTGCAAGTTTCTGCTGCCAATTGTTTCCTCGGTTATCTCCTTGAGGGCCGCGATGATTGTTTCGTCTAGGAAAGTTACGAGGCACCGTGAATTTTCCTCCCTTATCTCGAGGAGTACCTTGTGTGTTTTGTACATATTGTTGAAACTTTCCAGATTTGACTGCTGCTTCAATTTCCCGCTTGAGTTCTCTGCAATCTTCCGTATCATGCCCGTGGTCTTTGTGGTATTCACAGTATTGACTTGTAGACCTATTCGGATTATGAGCTAATGGTTTCGGAGTGGGGAATTCATCTTTGTGAATTTGAAGTATTTCTCGTCGAGGCTTCAACAACGGAGTTAAGGTCCTGTCGAGCCTAGGTAAGGGTGGTTTATTCTCCGTCATCGACTTGTACTTGTCCCTTCCCCCTCGATCTCCTACAAGCGAGAAGGATTCCTGTGATCGCTTGAGTATCTGCTCACGCTGGATATAACTCTCCACTATGGCCCACATCTCCTGTGTGTTTCGAGGAGGTTTGGTGGTCAACTTCACCCAAAGGTGAGCAGACTTTCCCCATGGGTTAAGGTCTTGGATGAATCCGTTTTGCATGTCTCTGTTATCGAGGTAGTCTACTTGGAGGGATTCTCGAGTAAGAGGCGATGGAAGTTCGAGAGACTCTCATTTTGTCCCTGTTTGATCGATGCCAGATCAATTGACATTTTTGTAATTTGCTTGTTGGGGAAGAAGCGTGTCGCTAGTTTCACGGAAAAGTCCTCGAAGCTATCGATGCTTCCCTCCGGTAATTGTCCAAACCAATGTTGTGCTTGTCCATCGAGGAAGGATGGTAAAGCTTTGGCCATGAAATCGAGAGACGCATTTCGGATTCTCATGACTTTCACGTACTTGTGCAGAAACCGATGTGGGTCAGTATCTCCCGAGTAGTTGACGAAGTCTTTTGGAAAGTCAAAGTCTCGAGGTTTCAGACAGTCTCGAATCCGTGGGATGAAGGGACTTGACCACGATCATTCCTATCATTCTTCTCATTGAGTCGCGGATGGACGGGTCTTTGTGGCCTTGGTTTTCTCGTTGTCGAGTATATCGGGGTTCTTCAGGATTTGGAACGTCGTGCCTCGGGTGACCATAAGGTACGTATCTTGAGTTGTGGTGAGTATCATGGTGCTCGTGATAAGATTTCTCCAGAGGGGCCTTAGGTCCCAGTCGAGAGTGGACATCACCTCTCGGGGGTGAGTTCCAATCCCTTCCCGACAGCTCCTCGATGCTGGGTGACTGTGGGCTAGGATGGCGGTGAGACTGTTTTTTCTGTTAATGTTCTTTTGCAAATTGCTCGATTGCCGCAAAATCCCCCGGATTTGTTCTTTCGAGGGCGTCCCAAAAGTTGTCTCCATGGTTTTCAAAGGCTCCAGCGCGGGAAGTTTCGCGATTGCGGGCTTCTTTGTGCAACTCTTCTCCCGCTTTACCTGAGAATTTATGTTTTTCTTGCCTTACCTCGAGGAGAGCTAACGTTCTTTTCGCCTCCTTCTCCTCGACCAGATCCTCCAGTTTTTTATCCGTGGGGTTCGGGAGGCCAAGTAAATAACAACGTCAGTGTTCCTCTAGTATGTATTTCTTTTTCCTCTGGTTAAGGGAATTGTTGTCTTTCAGATTCTTCAATTCCGTTTCCATCTCGGCTAGCCGTTGTTTTTGGTACGAATCGGGGATTTTTCTATGAGTTTCCGGATCTCCTTCCCCTACACCTACGTGATTGGTTGGCTTTGCGGGGGATATCTTTCTTTTCAACTGCCGGTCATTTTTCTTCCGCTTCTGCCTCTCCCGGAATCTGGCTAGGGTTTCATCATCACTGGGGCTTTCGCGCCCACTGGTTGATGCGGTACTGAATTGGGGATTATCAATTATAGCCATTGCATCTTTAGAGAAACCTTAGCTTAGAGTGGTAGTAGCGGATCGAAAAGGTTTTGAAAGCTTGAGAAAGCTTTGTGACACAAATCCTAATTCTCAGGTCCCACTAGGCGTGCCACTTGACGATACCTGGAATTGTACCGCCGGTTTAACGGTGGAACTCCGGTTAGGGTTTCCTGCAAAACAGAGCCTCGGGGCCTCCCGAGGGTAGACTCTCCAAAGCTTAAGTTAGAGAATAGGGTTGCGTAATAATCTGTGTATATGAATTGGTTTCAAAGATAGCGTACCCCAATTATGGTGAGACCAACCCTATTTATAGGCGTGAAATTACCTCCCAGGAAGGCGAATCCCATCAGGACACATATTCCTAAACCGGCTTCACTAGGTCGGCTAAACCCTAATTGGTGGATGGGCCGGTCCAGTAATCCTTGGTGGATCCGGACTAGTCAAAGAGCTGGAAGATATGGTCAAGGAAAAGGAGGCGATGAGGACGTTAGCCCTCCTCGAGGTGAGACGAGGAAAACGGAAAGTCCCGGGTGAAGGGGGAGAAGAGTTTCACAAGGAAGCCCGCAATCGCGAAACTTCTCATGTCGAGCTCTCCAAAACCCCTGGTGATACCTTCTGGGACGCTCTCGAGCAAACAAATCCGGTGGTTTATGCGGCAATTGAGCAATTTGCAAAAGAACATGAACAAAAAAAACAATCTTACCGCCAGCCTAGCCCACAATCACCCAGTGTCGAGGAGTTGTTGAGAAAGAATTGGGACTCCCCTCCAAGAGGTAACGTTCACTCTCAACTAGGGCCTAAAGCTCCTCCGGAGATGTCTTATCACGATCACCGTGATACCCACCACAACTCAAGATACCTACCTTATGGTCATCAGAGGTACGACATTTCATATCCTGAAGAGCCCTAGTTTGCTCGACAACGAGAGAACCAAGGCTACAAAGACCCGTCCATCCGCGACTCGATGAGAAGAATGATAGGAATGATCGTGGATAAGAGTCCTTTTGTCCCATGGATTCGAGACTGTTCGAAACCTCGAGGCTTTGACTTTCCAAAAGACTTCGTCAACTACTCGGGAGACACTGATCCACAGTGATTTTTGCACAAGTATATGCAGGTCATGAGAATTTGGAAAGCGTCTCTTGACTTCATGGCCAAACCTCTACCATCCTTCCTCGATGGACAAGCACAACGTTAGTTTGGACAGTTACCGGAAGGAAGCATTGACAGTTTCGAGGAATTGTTACAGAAACTAGCCACACGCTTCTTCCCCAACAAGCAAATTACAAAAATGTCAATTGACCTGGCATCGATCAAGCAAGGACAGAACGAGAGTCTCTTGGATTTCCATCGCCGTTTTACTCGAGAATCTTTCCAAGTAGATTACCTCGATGACAGAGATGTCCAGAATGGATTTATCGAAGGCCTCAACCCATGGGGAAAGTCTGCTCACCTGCGAGTGAAGTTGACCACCAAACCTCCTTGAAATACACAGGAGATGTGGGCCACAGTGGAAAGCTATATCCAGCGTGAACAGACATTCAAGTGATTGCAAAAATCCTTCTCGCTTGCAGGAGATCGAGAGGGAAGGGACAGGTACAAGTCGACGACGGAGAGTAAACCGCCCTTGCCTAGGCTCGACAGGACCTTAACCCGTTGTTGAAGCCTCGACAAGAAATACTTCAGATTCACAAGGACGAGTTCCCCGTTCCAAAACCATTAGCTCACAACCCAAATAGGTCCACGAGTCAGTACTGTGAATACCATAAAGACCACAGGCATGATACGGAAGATTACAGGGAACTCAACCGGGAAATTGAAGCCGGAGTCAAATCTGGAAAGTTTCAGGAGAATGTACAAACCACACAAGGTACTCCTCGAGAAAAGGGAGGGAAAGTTCGTGGCACCCCGTAATTTCCCTAAACAAAATAATAATCGTGGCCCTCGAGGAGATAATCAAGGAAACAATTGACAACAAAGGAATGACTCGCAGCAGCCTGCCCAGCAATCCCTTGGCGGAGGGCCACAGCCGGTTCAGCAAGTTCCTCCTCCAGATCCAACCAAGCAGATCACTCAAAACGTAGGAGCTATCTACGGGCCGTCCCTTGAAGTCTTGTCCACAACAGCAATGAAAGCATCACTTTAAGAAGTAACTAAGACACCACCTCAAGAACCAAGTCACAAATGGTTCAAAAGGACGGGGGAAATAGTCTTACAGACAGTGATGTTGTCCCAGGCATCTGTCCACACAGTGATGCAATGGTTATCGAGACCATCATAGGAAATATCAAAGTAAGCCGAGTATATGTTGACAACGGAAGCGCGGTTAGATATAATATACAGTGAGTGTTTCAAGAAGATCAACGTAAAAAATCCAGATTGGCGCCCCGCAACATTACTGCTAATGGGCTTTTCAGGGCACACGATAATTCCTAGCGGGATTGTCAGGCTTCCTATCACGTTAGGGTCACATCCTCAAATAGTAACTCTAACAATAGATTTCACCATAATCGATGCACCCTCGCCATTTAATGTGATCCTAGGACGGCCATGGATGTGTCAGGCCCGCGCTGTTTGGTCACCCTACCACTTGGTCATGAAGTTTCCAAGAGAATATGGGGTAGGAATTGTGCAAGGCAGCCAGCGTAGTTCTCGAGAATGCTTGCTCACAGCGGTGAAAATCTGGAAGAAAACAGTAAAGCCAGAGTTGGCTGTCACTGCGTCAGGGTGTTACTCTGTTCAACAAGGAGTATTACCAATCGATCATCCCCAGCAGCCACCACTGAGCAGCAAGACAGAAGAGTTGATCCTGGACGAAAAAGAGCCAGAAAAGACAATCAAGCTTGGAATATCTATAGACGGAATCTTGCGAGTCGAGGCAATCGCCTTACTATGCGAATTTTGAGATATCTTTGCTTGGCCACCATCTGATATGACCGGAGTTCCTCGAGAAGTCATTGAGCACAGGTTGAATGTCGACCCCAATGTCAAACCGGTCAAACAGGAAAAGAGAATTTTTACCCGAGATCGCAATGACATCATTAACAAGGAAACGCTCAAACTGGTCCGCGCCAACATTCTCCGGGAAGTCCTTTTGCCAACGTGGCTGGCCAACCCAGTCCTTGTCGGGAAACCAGATAATTCCTGGCGTATGTGTCAGGATTACACAGATCTTAACAAACATTACCCTAAGGATTGTTACCCTTTGCCCGTCATTGATCAAATGGTCGAGGGCATAACCGGTTTTAGAACACTTAGCTTCCTCGATGCATATAAAGGATACCACCAGATCCTTATGGCTCGAGAAGATGCAGAGAAAACAGCCTACATCACAGAAATTGGAGTGTACTGCTACGATTAAATTTCGTTTGGCTTAAAAAACGCTGGAGCCACCTATCAGCGTCTAGTCAACAGAGCTTTCCATGATCAAATCGGGCAAAACATTGAAATTTATGTGGATGACTTGGTCATCAAGAGCAAACTCAACAACAAGGTAGTCGAAGACATGAGGGAGATCTTCACAATTCTTCGAGCAATTAACATGAAGTTGAACCCGAAGGAGTGCACTTTTTGCGTCGGTTCTGGGAAGTTCCCTAGCGGCATTAAACAGGTTCCTATCTCGAGCTGCAGAGAGGAGCCTCCCCCTTTCAAGACGTTGCGACAAGGGAGGAGTTTTGCATGGACTGAAGAGTGTCAGACCGCCTTCCAGGACCTGAAAGAGCATCTCAAGCAGCTTCCCATGTTAGCTAAACCGGAGCCGAGAGAAACCCTGTACGTTTATCTGGCTGCTCGAGAAACTGCTATATCTGCGATTCTTATCCAGAAAAAAGACGGCAAAGAAATCCCAGTTTACTTTATGAGCAAAGTCCTACAGGGGGCAGAATCTCGATACACCCCCATGGAAAAACTGATACTAAGTCTGGTGCTCGCTGCTCGACAGCTTCGTCAGGTCTTAATCGAGCAACCTATATAGCAAGTTCTTCTCAAGCCTGAGGCTTCAGGCAGAATGATGAAATGGACCGTCGATCTGGGGGAACACTATATCGAGTATAAGCCTAGGATGGCTATAAAAGGACAGGCATTTACGGATTTCCTTGTCGAGACGCCCTGCGCTTCAGACACCATGTCGCGACCGCTACCAAAAACACCACCGCAGAAACACACTCCTATAGATCCTCGAGCTTGGACTACGTCGACGGCTCGTCTTGTGAGGATGGGGGAGGAACTAGGATTATATTAGCCAAACCAACCGCGCCACAGGAAATCGACGAGATGAAAGAATATAAGGCTGAATATGCCTATGATTTGCGGCTTGGTTTCCTGGTAACCAACAATATGGCTGAATACGAAGCAATGATGACAGGGTTAAACATGGCTCTAAGGCTAGGAGTCCAAAATTTAGAAGTTTTTAGCGACTCCCAAGTGGTGGTTAGGCAAATTGGCGGCAATTACACTGTCCGGGAAGAGCATCTCCGGCCATACTCTGAAAAAATCCTCGAGCTCAAGGACAAGTTCGAGAAATGTTCTATCTCCCACATTCTATGTCCGATGCCCTGAGTAAGCTAGCTTCGTCTAACTTTGCACAATTAAGCTATAAGGTTTGGGTCGAAATGCTCCCTGAACCTAGCATTTATCCCCGAGTCTCTCTTACTATCACAGATGATGGCGAAACATGGATGACTCCATTCGTACAGTTTCTCGAAAGCGGGGTGCTACCCAACAATAACTCAGAGGCTCAAGCACTGAAACTGAAGGCAGTCAAGTATACAATAAGGAACGAAATCTTGTATAAGTACGGGTATTTGTTGCCAATGATGCGGTGTCTCCGCCCCAGACAAACAGCCTATGTCCTCGAAGAAATTCATGAAGGTTCATGCGGCGCCCATATGGGAGCAAGAGGCTTAGCTAAAAAGGTTCTTCGAGTAGGATAACTTTGGTCTACAGTTTTCAAAGATGCCTACCAATTCGTGCAAAAGTGCGATAGATGTCAGTGGTTCTCGCCTATCACTCGGCAACCACAACATGAAATGGTAATCATCCAAAGCCCGTGGCCATTCTACCAGTAGGGCACTGACATCATTGACCCTTTTCCAAAAGGGGCAGGAGGACTACGATGGGTTGTCCTGGCAGTAGAGTATTTTACCAAGTAAGTAGAAGCAAAACCATTAGCATCGATATCCGGAGACAGGTGTTGAATTTTTTCTGGCAAAACGTGGTTTGTCGCTTTGGAGTGCCCAAGGTAATTGTATCGGACAATGGGACTCAGTTTGAGAGTGATCCATTCAAGTCATAGTGTGCGGAGATGCAAATCGAGCGCCAATTTTCCGCGGTTGCTCATCCTCAAGCAAATGGCCAAGCTGAGTCGATTAACAGAACCATTCTACATGGGATCAAGACTAGGTTGCACAGCGCCAAGGGTGCTTGGGTTGACGAGCTCTCTCACGTTCTATGGGCATATCGCACTACAGCTCTCTCCCCGACGGATGAAACACCTTACAGTCTGGTCTATGGAATGGACGCAATTCTCCCAGTCAAAATCGGTCTTCCTAGTCCTCGAACAATCAGCTTTGTCGAGACAACCAACAATGAAGACATCCTAACTAATCTCGACCTGCTCGAGGAACGGCGAGACACCGTAAAAGTCCGGGAAGCCAAGCACAAAGAGATACTTAGGAAACACTATAATATGCGAGTCAAGAGCGCTGACTTCGCAGTCGGGGATCTAGTAATCAGGAAAATTGAAGCCAGTCGAGCAAAAGTCCCGGGAAAGTTGCCGGCAAATTGACAAGGACCTTATCAAGTCATTCAAGTCTCCCCGTCTTGCAGCTATCGACTACAGACAACAGATCACATAAAGACCACTCTTCCTCGATGGTGAAACATTAAGAACCTTCGCAGGTTCTATGTCTATATTATTATATGCTATGTGCTATTTTGCTTGCTCTATGACTTGTTATTTTCATTTTCTTTGTATGTAATGCTATCCCGGATTCCCGGGTAATTATCAATAAAAGTCATTGCATATTTTTCATGCTTTAAATGTGTCGACAATATTTTATGACTAGTCAGCGAGATGGACACCCTCTTTAGGGCCATCCTCGATTGTGCCGTGTATTCAACATCCGGACATATAAACCGAGGATCTTTCCTCGTACCCACCGCAGATCGCGTTACTATTTTATCGAGGGACCCATACATGGTTCCTCGACAGAACCGTGTACTTTACATCCGGCCAATAAGTGTTACACAAATTATGCTCGAATATAATTATACAATCGACACTTATACAATCTCGAGATGAATATATTACCCTCACATCGAGTGGGGGACAGAAATTTACATCATTATACATTTAGATCTTAAGATTCTATCCCCTAGGGTTGAATCGGGATGGCTTATTAACCCTAGAGTACCCAACAGCTCTAAGCTGGTTAATACAATGGCTTAGCTTATCCTTTAGATCTACAATCTCCCAATCTTACTCGTCGATTCTAAGCAGATATTCCTCAGCAGCTGTCCTTTCTTTCGCTTCATCATCTGGATCGAGATCATCAAAATGGGCAGCGGGATTTTGTTGTCGGCTAATATGTTCTGTAGAACAGCGACTTGTTTCAAGTAGAACTCTGCTTCTTTGGTTCTCTTCTTTAGGAGATCAATAGCAGCTATAAAACTTTTTGTCCGGACTTCTATCTGTTTCTCGACCAAGGCAAGTAGCTCGAATTTCTCGAGCAACCATGGAGATACCACAATCTTCTCGCGCTTCCTCAATTGAGCATTTTCATCCTTCAGCTTTTTCATCTCGTCGCTGATATTCGCCTCTAGAATAAGGAAATCTTGGAAGTCGAGATCGTATTGATGGAGTCGACGTCTCCACTCCTCCTCTTTTTGTTTGAAACGTTGAACCAAGCGAGAGTGTATCTGCACATTATAAGCTTGAATAGCGTCCACAATCTCTTTCTCGAGGGCTCTCACTATAGCGGTATTGTGAACATTCCCGAATTTTCTCAATGCTGATGTAATCATGGCATACATAGGGAAATGTTTGATCTCATCCTCCTCAAGAATCATCAAATGCACATTATGGACATAATACGGCTCCTGACATAATCAACAAGAATACATCAAAAACAAAGAGTGGAAAAGAGAAGAAGAAGGCATTATGAAAATTCTGAGTTGATAGAATTCATTTAGCAATTACTACAGAAAGCTAAGGTCTACAACCCAAGTAGCAAAAATCCTGTTACAAGATAGGAGCTCATACGTCATTTGGGTTGGGGGGGATATTTGGTTGGCTCTCATTGATTCCCTTGACAGGAGTCTGCATCGAGGAAACCTCTTTCTCGCCTGCCGGTTCCTTCTCAACTTCAGATTCCCGCTCCTCCTCCTTATCCTCCTCGACCTTCTCAGAGAAATCTTCATCAAAAACTAGCTCGACGCCAATGAAATCTCGGTCAAGCTCGGGTACCCACATCTCTTCCCCAAGCTTAGCAGGTAACACCATTGGGGCATCTCCTTCAAAGGAGGTGATTTCTGAGGGTGAACCCATTTGGGGGATGGCGCTACACAAAGGCCCGAACAAAGGGAGTTGTTCAGTGCCAAGATGCATCAACCCATTCTTCATCGCTTCATGCAGGGTTATTCGAGGATGCGGTTTCACAAATTGTTGTAGCCAGCCGGCATTGACAGGCTTTCCAGATTCCATCCTTTCGAGAGCGGGAACAGCTACGTCATGGCCGCCTAGTGCAATAGCTGCTTCACTGATGCCCACCATGACATTGGCCATCCCTCCAGTGGGCATCATTGTGGCACAAAATGCAGTCATCCATTTCTGAAACTCTGTTTTGGGTATATGGTTTCCCCATATTCTTTCAGTTTAGCCTCGAGTTCCTTATACATGGCCTGGGCAGTGTCCAGCTCTCCCTCCTTGGCAGCCCACATTAACTGCTCCTTCTTCTTTGCCTCCTCGTGGATTGTTTTCTCATGCTCGAGAAACCCCTTCTCGAGGTCCAAATTGGAGATTTCCTCCCTTAGCTTCTGTTTTTGCATAAGGATGCTCGCCAAAGAGGTGGTTAGCGGTCGAGATTGCAAGCAAGAGATCAGTATAAATTGAAATACTGGTTACAAGCAGTGAATGCGGAAAACATTTGTGTTGGTAACATTTACCATTTTCAAGGCTTCTTCATTAGTCATCGTTTCGGCTACCTCTTCTATTATGGGGCATTCAATTCTATCATCCCCAAAGTGGAATATGGCGGCGACGGCAATGTATTAGGATGACCTTGGAGAGGCGTTCGGATTCTCAGCAGGGCTCTTCTTCTGAGATAGCGAAGGCAGAAATGTTATAAACCAACTTGGGTCTCGTTCAGCTTCCGGATTCCTATCTTTCTCCGGAGAGACATTGTCCTCGATAGGATTACCCTCCTCGACGGGCTTATCCTCCTCGATGGTCTTGTCTTCTTCAATGGGCTTAACTTCCTCGACTAGCCCTTCTTTCTCGACTGGAGGAGCCTGCTTTTTCTTTTTTGACGTAGCGCCTGCTTCTGACGCTTTCACTAGCCTCCTCAACTTCCTCTTCTTGCTGACTTTGCTTGAAGATCCTTCATCATCTGAATTTTTAATGTCAAAAATCTTGGAATCACCAAACAAGCCAACGGTGTTCTTGCTCGACGACATAACCTAGAACAAAAGGAATACACAAGAGGAGTTAGTACCTTTTTTATCCTTGACAGGAATTGGGGAAATGTACTGCTGCACTTTTGTCCATTTGAGATAATTTTTGAAGGATTCTAGAGCAGTAATGTCATCCCTATACTGCTTGATCCTGGCCTTGTCAGATTTAGACCAGATATCAGCTATAACACACATCTCCTGGGATTCACGATAATCCCAGGCCTCGCAAAAATCCTCTGGAGCCTGTACAAACAAATAATTTGGTTTCCACACTAGGGAACCATTGAAGGGTTCTATTATCTGCTCCGCACCCAACTTGGGATTCTTCTTTACATTATACCAGTCTTTGTATTTCATCGAGGGGACACAGACTTTGAAAAAAAACCTCCACACAAGTAATCGAGGTTCAACCTTCTTCAATTCGCAGAGCCTCGCAAATTTGAGGACTGCCAATATTAAATTTAGTATAAATCGAGCAAGGAGAATCTTATAGTATTGAACTATATCTCCAAACAGAGGGTAAAAGGGGAATCTTAGCCCTAAAAACATAAACCTATCATATACAGTTATTTTCCCCTCTGGAGGAGTAGTAGCCCTTTATGTGCCTAAAGGTGCTCGATATTCTAGATCTACTGGGAAATCGTACTTTTCGGCTATGGCCTTAGCTTTGTCGGCAGAGTTTATGGTGGATGCGAAGTCGGAAACTGTTTGAGCAGCCATATCTACCACAGTATATACAAATATGACAAAATTCAGGTAAAAAGACAGGCCTAGTCAAGCATTAAAAACAAGAAAGAGTTAAAGGACTCACTGCTGTTGGAGTTCGAGGGTGTTCCTCCGAATTTTGTTTGCCCGACGCGGTGAATCTCTTCTGTTGACGGAAAATGCCAAAATCTCCGGCGACGAAATAAAGCTTTACTGCTGGGCGGTGGCGAGTGATATGCTGAGAAGGCAGAAAAAATAGAGAACTCTGCTATGTATTTTTGGAAAAAGATGTTTTGATAAAAAACTTTAGAGCTTCTGACACCGGTATATGTTAATTCTCTCTCCCACAATTCGACGGTTGGAGCAAAGTTCAAGGGACAATAATGATGGTGCAGCCATCGTTTGAAAATCGTGCCAAGTAATGGGGCACGTCTGCAAGAATTTGGGTGGGATTCTGAAGCGGGTTGTGTTCTCGGATCGGGTTTTGACTCGCGAGTTATACCAACAGGCCTGCTTAAGACACTTTGGGCTGTCGACTGTGCAATCAACTTGCGCCGAGTCCAAGTTAGATTTATATTTTGTCAAGTGTTGTTTATTTTATATAACTAATACTTAACAAGGGCACTTGACGAGTCTATATCCACCACCGATATTGGACCGCCCATTAACCGAGTAAGGAGCCCGACCGACTCGAATAGGGCGGCAACATGACTAAAACCTAGTAGGATTCGGGTTCCCGTAGGCTATTCCTATGCCTATAAATAAGGATGAAGGCACCACAATTGAGGTACGCTATCTCTAGCACCAATTCATATATACACATTATTTTGCAACCCTATTTTCTGACTTAAGCTTCGAAGTGTGTACCCTCAGGAGGTCCCGAGGCTCTGTTTTACAGGAAATCCTAATCGGAGTTCCACCACCAAGTCGGAGGCGCAATTCCATGCATCGTCAACCATGATTTATCAGAAATTGGTAAAAGTATAGCCAAAAACTGTAAAGGGTTGCCTTTAGCTGTGGTTTTGGTTGTAGGTATCTTGGCAGGCAAGGACAAAGAATTTTGGAAGCAGGTTGAATCTTGTACAAGTTCACAAGTAATTAGTCAAAGGTGCATGGATGTGCTTGAACTTAGCTACAAGCATTTGCCAAATAATTTGAAGCCTTGTTTCCTCTATTTCGGAGCATTTCCAGAGGATACAGTTATCAAACCTCGAAAGCTAATTAGGTTGTGGATTGCAGAAGGGCTAATACCAAGAACCGACGGAAAGAGCTCATAAGAAGTAGCAGAGGATTACCTATCTGATCTAGTCAGTCGGAATTTAGTAATCCTTGCAGAGAGAAGTTCCATTGGCGGAATAAAAGCATGTCGTATCCATGATCTGCTACATAATCTATGCATTGTGAAAATTCAAGAAAAGAAATTTCTACGACGTGTGTTTGATGAAGATGTTTCTCATTCTTCATTGGAACCCAAAAAGTATGAGAATTATCGCCTCTGCATTCATGCTAAATGGACTGAGTTTGTCGATACTAAACCTGCAGGTACATTCGTCCACTCTCTAGTCTTTTATGGTAAAGAAACCATACGGGATAACCTTCCATATACTGTTCTCAACAGTTTTAGACTTGTTAATGTATTGGACCTAGAGCTCCTTAAAAGATATGGTCATTCTCCTTTTCCTCAAGAAGTAACATTGATGGTTCATTTGAGATATCTAGCAATAAATTGTGAGGATGCAAAACTTCCAGAAACCATTGTCAATCTGTGGAATCTCGAAACTTTGATTCTGCGACGTATGGTTGTTGTCTTTCCGAAATTCTTTTGGCAGATGAAAAGCTTGAGGCAGCTTCATTTTTATGGGCTGCATATATATGGTATTAAGAATCATAAATTCAGTCAACTAGAGCACTTGGGGAATCTGTCATAATTATATTTTGGTTCAAGAGAAGAAATGGAGGAATTACTGAGAAGGTTGCCAGGGCTCCGAAAGCTAAAGATCAATCTTCAGAATACCTGCGAGTTCCCAAAACTGAGTATCCGGAGTCATCTTGAAGCAGTGACCATATCCCCCAATTTCAACAAACTTTACAAGATTGTAAAGTACGAGTTTCGAGCTTTTGATTTTCCCAGCAGTCTCAGGAAATTGACATTGGATGGTTTGCAAGTGAAATGGAGTCTCATTTCTGTAATAGGACAGTTGCCTAATCTGGAAGTCCTTAAATTAAACTGAAGTCATTTAAAGCAAACAGATGGGACGGGACGTGGAAGATGGTGAATTCTTGAACCTCAAGCACTTGGAACTCAACTTTTTGGACCCTAAAAGATAAGACTGTCCAAGATGAGCCGTTCCCCAGCCTTGAACGGCTTATAGTGAGTCACTGCTACAAACTTCGTGGGATCTCTACTGACGAAGCCTGGAATTGTGACTCCTGTTAAACGGTGGAATTCCGATTAGGGTTTCTTTCAAAAAAAGATCTCGGGGGTCTCCCGAGGGTAGACACTACGATACTTAAGTCAGAAAATAAAGTTATGAAACCCTAAACCCTAAACCCTTATGTATATACTAATTGGTGCTAGAAATAGCGTACCACAATTGTAGAATAATCACCCATATTTATGGACGTAGAATAACTTAGGGAATATTTGAATTCTACTAGGTTTAACACTCTTTCACCGCTTTACCAGAATCGGTTGGACTCTTTACTCTGCGAATGGGCCAGTTCAATGCAGGTGGTAGATATGGACTCGTCACCTACAGTCTGGGATATATTCCAACCTTGGAGAAAATAGATATAAGTGGCTATCCCAAAGCTTCAAGATCAGCCTGGAAAATTTTCGAGGAACAGTAAGAAATGGGAAATGATGTCCTTGAACTTGTTAGTGATACGGATTACGATCATATTGTTAAGGAGGACGACGACAACGACGACGACAATGAGGATGATGATTGTTAAAGATGTTGAGTTTTCTGGAGATATGTTTGTGAAGATGTTGTATTGAATAAAGTTTGATCCAGATGAGTAGTTGCAACTTTGAATTACATCAAGACACAAGTAAAAAGTAATTAACGACTAGTCAACTTCAGTTAATTTATGTCTTGATGTAATCTATTGTTTTGTTAGTAGGTAGGCCGGTGGTTGTTAATGGTCCTAAACAGGAAATTTTAATAATTCTTCATTGTTTCGAGGATCATTATTTATTTGGTTGGTTGATAATGTTCAAATGTGAAAGGTGGTGAAACTTAAAAGTAATTAAGAAAATGCGGCAAAAAACAACCCTGAAGTTGCCTAATTTGTCTGCTGGAAAAGGTATTTGCGAAACTCCTATGTGTTAGTACTTCTTGTTCCCTAGAAGTGAATTTAATATAAAAAAGAAATTCACATCTATTTCTGGGTTGCATTTTGCCAATGAATTTCATCTTCTTTTTTCTTTTTTGGAAATAATATTTGAGTTTTTTTTTTTTTTGGTTAAAATATTTGAGTTTTGATGGTCAGTAGTTGTTGACTGGCTTTGGAATCTAGTACAAGTCTTCCTATATTAGAAACAAAAACCACACTTAAGAGAAAGCACCACCATTTGCCATGTGGCATTTCTACATCATATTTTTAAAATAAATTTTTATTACACATCAGTTTCCTAAATTAATAAAACAAATGCAGCCTAAATCCACCTCCACCTTTATTAAGATGTAATAGGAAAACTTTTCATGTCATTCTCTCCCCCTTCCCTCAACCTCCACGATTTCACCCACCAATCAGCTTTTAATTAGTACATGTTTAAAAAGTCCACGTATAGAAATTATTCCGTGTAGAAATTATAGTTTTGAATCCGTATAGAAAATCATAACAACGGCTCTAAAATTTTTTCCAAATCATCGACCCTCATTTATGTATTAGCTAACGGAATCTTTTGCTACGGTAATTTGTCAATATTCACCGAACCTTCTTGGATCAATTTTTTTTTATATATGTAAACCCCAAACCAATTCTTATATGTCGATTAATTGAGCTAAAATTTACAACAAAAATACTGAAATGGTACATACATAAGCACTGCTATTAATTTTATTAAGTTACTATAAAATGGTCGTAACACAATTAAGTTCATTTCGATAGAGTATCCTTAAGTTACACTATTTTTTTTTGACATCTAATATTTTTATACAAAAACTACTTAAGAAATCGCAATCTCATTAAACTGATTAATTGATATCACATTCAATATTTGCAAATTAGTGTATAATATTTTTTACAAATATTAGATAATGATATCATTACACTATTAAAATATTTAGATGTGATTACACTATTTAAGAAAATATAATTGATTTGGGTTCGTAAAAAATCAAATCCCCATCATCATCTCCACGACAATCGACTCCCTAATCAATCCCCTCTCCACAATTAAAAAATAAATAAATTCCTCATCAATCATCAATTGAGAATATGTGGTGAAATATACTCTTTTCCTATTAGCATGTTCAATCTTTTCATTAGTGATGATCAACTACATCCTAATCGAATAAAATTTCGACTTCAAAAAATATTCTCTTTACCTCTCTATATAAACACAAAGGAAAAAAAAATTCTCATTGATATTGTTTCGGCCGTTGTGGTGGTGCCATTACAGGTATTAGAATTTAAATGATTTTATTTCCACATATCATTTATTTGACTTTTATTATTTTTTGTTTTACCCGTTCAAGAATAGTGTTATTACTATTATTTTTATGTATCCATTCGTTACAGCTACCGTAGCCGTTGTCAAGTAATATGATGTGATTTCTTATATAGTTAGTTAGTCTAGAATTTTTGTATGATTTTAGTTCTGTTTGGATTGAATTGATTAATTGGGTTTTTGTTACAAAGTGTGGTTTTTTGAATTTCTTTTTTATGTTCCATTCAATTAGAGTGGTTTTTTTTTTTAATTATGGAGTCTCAGGTTTTTTTCGTATATGGTTAATTATGAAGTGTGTTTTTCTTTGTTTGATTGCTTTTGATTTTGTTCCATACTCACAGTTGACCAATTATTATTATTATTATTATTATTATTATTATTATTATTATTATTATTATTATTTTATTTACAAATGAAGCGCGTTTTCTTTTTGTGTTCGAGCTTTCAAGAATATAATTTTTTGGATTTGGTTTTTTGACTTTTTTTAGTTCCTCATCATATAAATAGTTCAGGTCGCTTCTTCTAACTAACTTATGGGGAAGCCTTTTATGAATTTGAAGTGGAAAGGTAAGGAATGATGTTTCTACGTTTAATTGTGTTTTTATATATCATTTTTACTCACAGAACAAAAAATAAATTTCTTAATTTTTAATGAGCTATCTTTTACTCTTTTTTTTTAATTTACCATGGTGATGTGAGTTCTTTTTTGCTATAACTTGAAACCTATACAAATTTACATTATTTTCATTCTTATATTTGTGATCAACCAGTTTCAACAATTAACCAGATTCAAAATCATATTTTTGATATTTTACAACCCATAAATTTTTGGAAGAAATAGTTCCAACAATTAAGCGTATACCCTTTGGAAGAAGCTTATTACAAAGCTATTATAAATCTCCAAAACTAAGTATTGATTTGGCACAACCAATGAAAAACATCAATAAATTATCTTACTAATATTTAAACTTATTAGGATGCTTTTATATTTTGTCTAGTATTTACTTCAAAACATATATTTGATAAAGTTTATTTATATTTAAGAAGTAACACTTATAAAACATTTCTCAAATCTTCAAGCATTTCTAAAACGTACCGGGTCAAATACAATTTCATTTTATGCCAAATACAAACATTTCTATGATCACACTTATAAAATATTTCTAAATTCTTCAAACATTTTTAAAATATATTGGGCCAAATACAAAATTTTTTTTTTCCAGATACAAACATTTCTAAGATCTACAGATATATTGGGCCAGGGTCGCGCATTGCACGACCAGACATTACTAGTATACAAATAAAACAAAAAGAATACTTAAAAAATGGTTTCTACTTCCTTCCTGGTTTGACTTTTGAGCAAAATCTGGGAATGGGAGATACTTAATAAAAAATACATATGCAGTTGTTAGGCTGTAAATGAGACTGCAACAGTTGGATAGCCACCTCTTCCCTTTTTTTTTTTCTTTTTTTTTCCCCTCCATTCTTTACATAATTTAATGTCATAGCTAAAGCATATTTTATAATGCAGATCATTAATTCAACAGAAGCTGGGATCGAGACACAAACAAAATATAACAATGACTAATTTCTCAGCAAACATTTTCTTGGGAGATAGAGATAGAGAAAAAAAAAAAAAAAAATGGCCCAGATGACTTCCACTGGAATTGATTCTGGTACTGTTGAAGAACTGGGTTGGCTAGAGAATCATCAATCTGGCTTTTCTGAAGTTCTTCGGCAGGGGTTGAGATTCCTGATTGGTTTTCTGACCTGCATGTACAAATGTGAAGCTGCTCAAAAGAATTTGCTTCTTCGTGATGCAATTGATGATTTCAACGTTATCCTAAAAGAAGTTGGTCTTGGTATAGGTAATGGCCGTGTGACTGAAATCGGTCGCATCCGCTCTAAACATTTGAATCCTCTGGTTTCTAATTTGGTAGGCAAGTTTGAGCAATTGGAACCAAAGATTAAGAAAATAAGGTTTCTTTCTTTGTTCTCATTAAGGTGGTCCAATGTGTGTTTATCAAGTGCAGAGATCTTGGGACTCCTCCGTCTTCTTCTTGAGAGTTTCCAGCATCTTGTCAATCTGGAAAGTGAGATTGTTGGTTCTGTGAAGAACCAAATCAGGGTTCTTATAGAAAAGCTAAGTTCCCTAAGAAACCTTGTCCGTGATCTCTCTGCGAGATCAACAAGCGTTGACCAAGATCAGGAACTGGAAGATTTCAGGGATTTTGTGAAGGATGCCGCGTCGTTGTCCCTTGTGTTCTTGCTGAAAGGGGAGGATAATGGTAAGAAGGCCCAAGGATTGGAGACGCTGGTTTCTGATCTACTGCACAAGTTTAAGCCCTGCGCTCCAAAGGTCGCCGGGACCTTCATTCGACTCCTTAAAGCTTCAGAGTCAACTAGTTCGGACAAGTTCCAAGTCGGCAAAAATGTTGTCGGACTTGTTGACTTCCTGTTGGAAGAATTAGTTGGCCCTTTGGGTTCGAAGGATCGTGTTGAAATCGTCAAGGAAGGGTTGATAGTGATCATATCCTTCTTTGTGGATCCAGGAGTGGAAGCTCTCACAAACTCTGGACATGGATTTATAATAGTACGAATTAAAGCTGCTATCAATGAGGTAAAGTTTCTAAGATTGATTCCCCCAACTTGCATTCATTTTCTTATAGGAAATACCAATCAAATCTACATTAACTAGCCATTCTCCCGTTTACACAAACTTACATTAGCCATAACTTAGCTTGAACTCCATGCATCTAGTAGTCCACTAGTATCTAATCTTATCTACTAACAATTAACTAATTTGGTCTTTATCCATCATTTTCATTTGAAAGTTGATTTTTAAAGTAACAATAGTAATTAATTGTTAAGTTAAAATCTTAATAAAACTGGGGGTTGTGTTACAGGTACTATATCTCATTTCCTTAATTTGCATGGACGTATTAGAAGCAGCAGCTACATCTATTCTCCTCGAAAAGATTGAAACAATGAAAGCGGAGATTAGAAAGCTTTATTTCCCTCTTTTGAGTTCATCACCTAGCATCAAGTTTCCAACCACAAATTGCATGGGATTTATCGATTTCTTGTTGGAGAATTTGGAGGAAATGATGAAACGTAGTCTCAATATGAATGCTTTTGTAAAACATCGAGTATTGGTAATCCACACGGAGATCCTTTCCCTTAAACCCTTCCTCCAAACTATCTCGAAGGTGGAGAAAGAGAGAGGGGATTTGGGAGCTCTTTGGAAACAAATTACCAATACCATGTTCTTAACAGAGCAAGCCATCAACTCCTGTTTACTAATAAGTCATCCTATTTGGTATGACTTGATGTGCCTCTCAGATGTAAAAGATTCCATCAAGCTCATTGAGAGAGAGGTGAAAACTTACAAGGATCAGTTGCACGGGATCAGAATCTCAAGTGATGTGACAACTTCAACTCGTAAACCCGCGAGACAATCAAATCATGCAAGCCTTAAGGATGTGGTGATGATGGGTCGGGAAGATGAATTCGGTACAATCATTCAGAAACTCTGTAGAGGAACAGAACAGCTTGACATTGTCTCTATTGTAGGTATGGCCGGCCTCGGTAAGACCACCATGGCCCAGAAAGTGTACAATGATTCAAGAGTTAAGTTCAACTTCCCAATCCGGGCATGGTGTTGTGTTTCTCAGACGTATAAACCTAGAGAGTGTTACTTTGACATTTTGAGCGATGTCATTGGTGATGATGGTCGTAAAAAATACTCGGGTTTGAGTGATAATGATTTGGTTGAGAAAATCTGGAAAGAATTGAAGCAGCGGAAGTATCTGATAGTTTTGGATGACATCTGGAGCATCGATGCATGGGAAGGGATTAAATGTTCATTTCCGGATGATGGAAAGGGAAGTCGAATTATGTTTACGACCCGAATCCATGATTTGGTGTCACAAGCAATGCCAAATTCCAGTCCCCATCAGCTTCAGTCACTTTCTGATGAGGAGAGTTGGGAGTTACTACAATCAAAACTCCCTCTTGAGCTCAGTTCTCCTCTTGATGATGAACATTTGGAGATTGGAAAAAAGATTGCTAAAAACTGTAAAGGATTGCCTTTAGCAGTGGTTTTGGTTGCAGGTATACTGGCAGGCAAAGACATAAGTCTCTGGAAGCATATTGAATCTAGTACAAGTTCAGAGCTTGTTAGTGAAATGTGCATGGATGTGCTTGAGCTTAGTTACGAGGATTTGACAGATAGCTTGAAATCCTGCTTCCTCTACTTTGCAGCATTCCCTGAGGATACAGTAATTAGAAGCGAAAAGCTGAAGAATATGTGGATTGCAGAAGGGTTGATACCAAGAACTGACCAAAAGAGTTCATTTGAAATTGCCAATGAGTACTTGTCTCATCTAATCAGTCGAAATCTGATCATCCTAGAAGAGGCAAGTTCCACTGGTGATATAAAAGCGTGTCGTGTCCATGATCTACTGCATAATCTATGCTTGGTGAAAAGCCGAGAAGACAACTTTATGCACAGGGTAGATCATGAGGACGGTGATGATTCTCAACCTTCAAAATTATTGATTCCCAAAAAATATGAGCATTATCGCCTATGCGTACATGCGAAATGGGAGGAGTTTGTTAAGACTGAACCGGTAGGTCCATTCGTCCACTCTCTGGTCGTTTACTATAACAACGACTCATGGCAGTTTGAGTATCCATATCCCTCTGCCCTTCTGAATAGCTTTACGTTTCTTAAGGTGTTGGACTTGGAGCTCATCGAGATAGAGGGCTGTTTTCCTGAAGAAGTAACATTGATGGTTCATTTGAGGTACCTAGCGATTTCTTGCGATGATAGAGATCTTCCAAGTTCCATTGTCAATTTGTGGAATCTGGAAACCTTAATTCTGCCAAGCCAACTGGTTTTCATACCTGAATTTTTTTGGAAGATGAAAAGCTTGAGGTATGTACATATTGATGAGTTGCGTTTAGATGGTATCGAGAATCACAAATACGGTAAACTGGAGAAGTTGGAGGTTTTGTCGAGAGTAATTATTTTTAATGAGTATGAAATCGAGGAACTCCTGAGGCGGTTGCCAGCGCTACGGAAGCTCACTCATACTAGCCGTAGCTCCATGAAGAATGGGAGACTGGACAGTATCCCGACTCCTCTCGAATCACTGAGTGTGGTTTGCTTTCCAGCTTTTGATTTTCCGAGCAGTCTCAGAAAATTGACACTGGATAGTTTGGGTCTCCACCGGAAGCTCGTATCAGCTATAGGGCAGTTGCCTAATCTGGAGGTTCTCAAATTACGAGATGGTGGATTCAGAGAAAACAAATGGGATGTCGAAGATGGCCAGTTCTTGAACCTTAAGCACTTGGAACTAATGAAGTTCAAGTTTGAAGAATGGACTGTCCAGGATGAGCCTTTCCCCAACCTTAAACGTCTTATAGTGAATGACATTTGGGGAATTTGTGAGATTCCATCCAGTTTGGGATACATTCTTAGCTTGGAGAAGATAGAGATTGCTAAGTGTTCCTCTGGAGTCTCAAGATCAGCCTGGGAGATTTTCGTGGAACAACAAGATATAGGAAATAATATCCTCCAACTTGTGATTGATGTGGCTTATGAACAAGATGAAGACGAAGATGGTGGTGATGATGATGATGATGATGATGAAGAAGAAGAAGAAGAAGAAGAAGAAGATGAAGAAGAAGAAGACGAAGAAGAAGATGATGATGATGATGGGGACGATAATGATGATGATGATGATGAAGAAGAAGAAGAAGAAGAAAATATTCCTCAAGCACGGCGTCTGGGCAGAAAAATATACAACTGGGAAAATGATGATAGTGATTGAAGATGATGAAACTATTCAGTGCAAAGAGACGGTGATGACGGTGACGACGACAATGATGATGAAGGAGAAGAAAAGAAGATGGTCACGGGGATGATGAATCGATACGTACGGCGGGTCAGAACATGATAATAATGAAGATGATGAAAACTACATACTGTATGATATTTGTCTAAACTGTGTATGATTTCTGATTTCCTTTTCTTTTTCTTTGTTTGGTACCCCTCCCATTGCAAACAACATAAGTAGATTCCCTACTATATTGTTCTGTGAGGTCAGTATTTTATTTCTTGGTTACAATACCAAAATACCCACCAGAAAAGCCCTCAAATTTCTACCCAAAAAGAACAGTCACTATTCCAAACAAAACTCATCTGCTCTGGATGGTTTGGAAGTGAAATGAAGTCTCATTTCTGTAATTGGAAAGTTGCCTAATCTGGAAGTCCTTAAATTAAACATGAAGTCATTTAAAGGAAACAGATGGCATGTGGAAGTTGGTGAATTCCTGAACCTTACGCACTTGGAACTCAATTTTTTGGACCTTAAAAGATGGACTGTCCAAGATGAGACGTTCCCCAGCCTTGAACGGCTTATAGTGAGTCACCGTTACAAACTTCGTGGGATCCCCTACAGTCTAGGATATATTCACCTTGGAGAAAATAGAGATGTGCGGCTGTCCCAAAGCTTCATCATCAGCCTGGAAAATTTTCGAGGAACAGCGAGAAATTGAAATGATGTCCTTGAACTTGTTACGATCATATTGTGAGGAGGACGAGGATGACGACGAGATGATGATTGTTAAGATGTGGAGGAGACGGGATTGAGATTGATTTTGTTTCCTAGATGTATAAACTGTTGAAAATGGTCCTGTTTTCGAAGTTCTGGGTATGTGTGGGGGGTTTTTGCCTAGTTACAAAATTCTTACACATCCAGTTTCAATTGCTTATCCCGGTAATGTTGTTGTTTTGGCATTGCTACAATTGAGTGATTAACTCTGTTTTTGGTATTGAAAAAAATATTTGTACATGAGCTATCTCATAAAGGCAAGTCAAGACACTGAAATTGTAAAGTGTGATATATAAATGTGCACCTGTTGAGCTCATGAGTTGCAAAAGTTGTACAGCTACGTCTGCCAATTTTTCTGCACAATTGTATGGATTGTAATGTGAACTCCAGCAGTTGAATGAGCATATTAATGGAAGTAATCAAGGAAACTTGGGATGAGATCGATACACAAACAAAAAAAAAAACAATATGGGAATAAGCTGTGACACAATTCGAGCTTTGAGTAGCTTAGAGGCCTAAAAGTCTGCAGCACTTGTTCAGAGAGTTTGGCATCCAGCATTTTTTCAGAAAACATTTTCTTTAGGGATAGATCAACCAAAAATGGCTCACACTTTCACTGCAATTGATTCTGTTATTGAAGAGCACATTATGCTGAACATTCAAACTGGTTTGCCCAAAGATCTTCAGCAAGAGACATACATAAACTTCAAACATATTCAATCCATGAACAATTGAAAAGTGCGTCCATGGGCAAAATTAAACACAGCCAAAATGTTATCCTGGTCTGTTTCTATCTTATTCAATTTTCTTTCATACATAAGACAAACCTACAATCATTTGTAATGAAATCATCACACTCTTACAAAAAGTGACATCTTTAAATTTCAATAAGTCATATGCTTACAACATCATCTTAAAACAAATTATCCAATCCCACCATCATTAGCTCGACTGACCAGATATGGTTGCATGCAGATTACCTTTCTTTTTTCCTGTCTTTTCTTTCCTTCCTTTGTATTGGTGATAGGGAGATGGCACAGGCATTGGGTAGTTCCACTTTGGCCGTTTACTCCCTAATTTGACGTTGGCGCAGCAAGTTTGCAATGATAAATACATACTGATCATATTGAAGGAAATATATAATGCAGTTGTTAGGCTGGAAATAAACAAGGTACAGAACATATAGATGTTGCTAAACGGGGCTCATGACTAGATTAGAACTTTGTCTAATTCTTCTCTGGAGGTCCTAGAGAACAATTCGGTCCAAGGTAATTGCTCAGAAAACAAATCTGCCTACACTGAACTAAAATTTCAAACTTGCATAACTGACTTTGTTACCTTCCACCGTTTATGGTTCAAGTATCAGGCCACAAAGGCTACAATGCTTAAACAATACCAATCAACTTCTCTTCCAGCAACTTCATACAGTTTGAATTCCTAATTTGCAAGCTTCTTCTCTGCCTACTCCTTTTGGCTGCCTAGTTTGTTGTTGTATTTCTCCTGTGATCATCCTCACCCTTCCCTGAATGAGGAATTGCCTTTTCTGAAATAAGAAGTCACTTACATTTCATAAATGAAAATGATGTGTAGTGTGACAGGGCTCACTGAATGATCAAGACTTTCTCACTATGAATGCTTTGGACATTTGCTAGTATAAAAAGCAGACTCAACAAGTATTGTCTTTAAATATATAGATAAACTGGCAATAACATTCGGTTACAATGGAGTACTACCTAACCTCCTTTCTATGGATTGATATTTTAGCTTTCCATTTCTCATGATTCTGCAAGCATTGCATCTTCAACTTCTTCAGGTTGTACCTGCAAAGTGATACCCAAAACTATTGGTAAATCTACACTAATGTAAAGAAAGAAAAATACTAGAAAGGACAAAAAGATTCAGGAAGTTACGCCAGTTATCTTGCTACGTAATTCACCTTTTTTGCATTTCAGCCTCACTGCATATCATCGTCTCCACGACATGATTTGAGATTCCTCGGTCAATTCGCACTTATAAACTCATTCATAGGGTTGCGACATTTATGGTTTCCCTTCTTCCGTAGAAAGGCTACAAAAATGTTGACTGTACAATACTTTAGACTGAATTTAGCTTTTATCATCTTCAAATATAAAACATGCCCAATCTTGTTCTGGTGGCTCACTTCATTTTTATCAAACACAAACTACAAGGACACACACACAGACACAGACAAGTTAAGGAAATAAGACCTTGAATCTAATGTCCTATACCCTAAACCCTAATCATAGAAATAAGACATCATTGAAGACTCAAATCATAAATCTAAATTGAAACACAATCTGCTACAGCCTCATTTATCTTGGAAAGGAAGACCATGCTCAAGATCACAACTTTTGCACTAGAAAGTTCCTTCCCACCATTAACGATATACCGTATCAGAAGAATAGTCCGTGTTCAGTTTTAAAATTTGTACTAAAAACAGTACAAATCTCAAAACTCGATGTGGACACTTCCTTTTGGACAGATGGAGTATATATTTAATAAAAATAAGAAAAAAAAAAAACAAAAGCCTCCATCAATCTCCTCACTGATATGCTTCTTCAGTAGAAGGTTCAAAATTCCTATTTATCCTACATGGCTACACAGTACATAGTCAGAATGGCTGCTTTCTCCCACATCTGGAATACCATTGGCAGCAGTATCAATTGAATAATCTATCAACAGTTTGTACTGAGTGGACTGGGGATTCAAATGGGAAGGCCTTGCATTCACCAATTTTCTGTCCTGAACCATAGTAATGGTCCGTGACTGGCTCAGCCGGAGAATTGGCATTCCAAGTACCACAACCAGCCACGTTATTGGATGACAAATGAGTTAAAATGTACAAGACTTTGTGGGATTCCACAGATCCGTTCTCTTCCATGACTCGCTGCCATGGAAGATCATTCGTCAACAATTCCCATGGGGTTGAGTTCTCGCCATACAGATTTACTTCAACAAAATACCTCTGTTCCTCCTCCATCAATACATTTCCTAAAATCTTTCTTTAGATAGTACCAAACAGTACCACCATTTCCATCAATGAGCTAAACACATTCACAAGTTCACGACATTAAAGGTGTCCCCTTCGTGCAAAGCTGGTTCTTTTCATATTTGGATGGACCGAAAGCGTAGAAAGGCTACAAAAAATAGTGATTGTACAATGCTTAGCCTAAACTTATCCAGTCATCTTCAGATACACTGTAAATCACGTTCGATCTTGTTCTGGTGACTGACCTCATTTTTTATCACACAAATTATATATAAAAGGCCAAAAAATAAGAATTCGAATCTGATATTAACATAATCATAGAAATAAGACATCATTGAAAACTCAAATCATAATCTACATTGAAAACACAATCCGGTAACTATTTATCAGCCTACAGACTACATAGATCAGCCAAGAGAACACTATGATCAAGATCACAACTTTTTCACTAGAAAAGTTCCTTCCGGTCATAATTTCTTCTTTTTTTAATTATTTAAAGTAAAAGGGAAAAAAAAAACCTCCATCAATCTTCTGACTCATCTTCTTCTTCTTCTTCTTCTTCAGAGGAAGAGGAAGGATCCATATTCCTATTTACCTTACACAGAACATAATCAGAATGAATGCTTTCTCCAGCAGCTGGAATCCCATTGGCAGCAGCATCAATTGAAAATTCCACCATTGTCCACCGCCCGACACTTTGTTCTGGAACAGAGGATTCAAATTTGAAGGTCTTATACTCACCAATTTTCTTGCCTGACCCCAAGTAGTGGTTGTCGATGACCGGCTCGGCCGGTGAATCGGCGACCCAAGTACCACAACCCGCGACCCGATTCGTCTTCCCCACAACGTTATCGGAAGACAATCGAGTGAAAACGTAGAAATTTTTCTGGGAATAAAGCGATATCCCATCTGGGTCCATCACCAAGTGCCATGGATGATCATCGGTTAATACTTCCCATGGGTTCGAGTTGGGGCCGTACAGATTTACTTCTGCAAAATAGCCCTTTTCCTGCTCCGTGAATGGATCCCCTGAAACCTTCTTCTTCAGGAAGTACCCAACTAACTCTTCCTGAATCGGACGGAATCGAACACCGACAACATTATTCATTCTTTTCTTGTTCAGACTTTACCTTTTGATCAAACTGGTTTCTTCAACGGTTTCGTTAATTGTTGGGAGATTTGGAGAGAATTTGAAGAAGGGAAAGAAGAAAGAAGAAAGATTGACTGGGGTTTTGTTCTGCCGCTGATATATATATAGACCTTAACCCAAGTAGCAGATGGATGTGGGCTAATTGAATGGGCTAAACCGGAGTTTCGTTTTAGGATTTCCAATAATGTAAACAGTAATTTACAAAAAAAAAAAAAAAAACTGAATTGCTTCTCCTCAATTCAAAAATTATTCACTTACAGTTTGTTTTTAACAATTTTGCCTGAACCAAAACCCCCCTCTCTTCTTCTCCTTCCTCTTCCTCTTTTTTTCTTCTTCCTCCTCTTTCATTCGTTTTCTTCTTCTTCCTTTCTTTTCAAACTTAAAATCCAGATCTAGTGTACATAGAGCTCTAAAAAAATGACAGAACGCGGCAAACAACAACGGAAAAACTCACCATCGATTTTGGTAATTTTTTTTACCAAATCCAATTTAAAAAAACGAAAAAAAAAAAAAAAACTTGCTGCCTAGGCTGGCCGACCCAACCGGTGGCCAGCCTGAGACCCTTGGCTGGGTTTCTAACCGGTCAAGGATAATAAATTGGCCGGGTCAGGGACCGGCCAATCCACAAACAGTACCCAGTGCCCATCCTGGGATCCTTGGCCGGTGAGATCCACAAACAAGATTGGTCGGTCCCTGACCGGGGCAATCCATTACCCTTGGCCGGTGAGAAACCCGGCCAAGGGGCCCATGCTGGCCACCGGTTGGGCAGCAAGTTTTCTTTTTCGTTTTTTTTAATTTTTTGTAATATTTTTGTTATAACTAATTTAGTTTAATTTATACTTACATAATTAGTTTTTGAATATTGCGTTATTAGTTGTAATTAATTTAATCATATTTGTAATTAATATAGTTATATGTATAATTAATTTCATTGAATTTATTTTAATTTTTATTTGAATCTTTTTCAATAGAATAGTTATATATAAAATTTAATGTACGTTAAAAGTATAATTAATTAGGTACAATTTATTTAATTGAATTTGTTTTGATTTCTATTTTGATTATTGTAGTGGAGTAGTTATGTATATTCATTAATGTAAGTTAAAGGGGAAAAAAAAAAAGAGGCAAGATGTACCTGATTCTTCAATGTTGATAGGGTCGGGTACACGGGCATGCATGATCGAGTTATTTCAGCCTCATATCATCGTGGGAGTCCAAGTGGGCATAAGTCAAAAGGTCAGTCGCACATGGGTCAGGCTGGTAGTAGTGTGGGACTGGACGATGTATTTGATCATGCCAGTTTGGACCTACAGAATGTGAGTGACAATGAGGATGTCCCGATTGAAGATATTGACTCAGAAGGGTTTAATGATTTCGGTGGTGACTCACATCCACAATCACCTCCACATTTCACCTCCACATGCACTTCCACATTTGCCTCCACATTTACCTCCACATACACTCCCAATTAGACGAAGCAATGTTATCCGTCTGAGTGTTAGAGGACGTGGAATTGCATCTGCATAAACATCTGCATTTACAACTGCATCTGCATCTGCATCATCATCATCAGGTAAGAAATTAGATTATGAGGTTTAATTTTACTTTTTAGTAACACAACATTCAAATATTTGACCGGAGAAAAAATGACTAATTTGTTTACGTAAATTTCAGCGATTACTGCCCAACCTTGGGTTGTCACGAGGCCAATTGTTGGTGGCCCTCATGACGGTTCTGTTATTCCCAGTTTCTTTGGTCATGTGGCTCATCTCTTGACGGCTAAGTCCTCTAAACCCTCCTTGGAGATGGATACAAGAGTCACATACTTCAAGCTGTTGAATGAATGGAAAAAAGGTTCTATGTCGACTGAGTATCAAATCTTATTGGCTGGTACAAGGCTGTCCCACATCGTGGACATCGTGCACACCAACATTGATAAGGCATTGATTACAGCATTCGTGGAGAGGTGGCAGCCAGACACCAACACGTTTTACATGCCTTTTGGAGAGATAACCATCATGTTACAAGATGTGCGACAGATTTTGGGTATTCCCATTGATGGTAGATTGATTATAGCACAACCTGGGACTGTCAATTGTAAGACTTTGGTCATGAGGGCACTGAAAATGACTAGCCAGACGCTACAGACTAGTAAAGTAATCCACGGTGGAGGGGTTCAATTGGGTCTTGTCGTGAAGGCAGGCCGAGTGGCAGCGTCTGGTTTAGATGAGGTGATCGCCTGGTTATGCGTCATGTTAGGAAATAAGTTGTTTACCGACAGGAGTGCTACTCGGATTAGAGCAGCGATCCTCTCCTAGTTTATTGATGGCCAAGTCACCTGTGACAATATTTCTTGGGGGTCTGCTACTCTAGCCTATCTATACCGTCAACTAGGCGTGTCCACCAGATTACAAAATACCTCAATGTTTGGTTGCTACACACTACTTCAGGTATGGATATATGTGTACTTTTCATGTTTCAGACCACTTTTCACTCAGACTCCTGGACAACCCCGAGCTGGATGGTATGGCATCCCAATTCCTGATAACAGTGCAGAACGTTTGAGGAAGCTTCGCCTCCAGATCGACAAGCTGACACCCACTAATGTACGTCACTTTTTCCACTTTTTAATTTATAATTGTGAGGCAAAATAATGTAGTTAACTTATCTTATATCTTTTGTGTAGGTTGAATGGTTGCCTGATGGCCCTGAGCCTGTTTACGATGATCCGAGGACCATATACATTGATTGGATACAGTATCGCGATATTATTGATCCATACTTGCCTAATGGAGTATTGCGCCAGATCGGATACATCCAGGTCATCCCTCCACCCATTTCTTATCCCATTAGTGCGATTCGTAGTGGTAATCACCACTCCTACAAGGTTTCATGGAGGGCCACTGAGGCGTTAGATGCTTGGTTGCAATTCTCATTCAGTTCGGGCTGGATCTAGAGTTTTTTTGAGTCGACTGATCATGATCAGACTGCATGCACTCCTAATTACCTCCAGTGGTACTTTAAATATTCACATCCTTTGTTGGTTTTAGATGCCACTACTACATGTGGAGTTAAAACCACATCTCACGTACATCTTTATTGCATAACCATTTATTGAAATGTGTATATAATATATTATTAATTGTGTAATTTTTTTAATGGCGGTACTTTTTTTTTTTTACGATGGGTCAACCGATTGTCTGGGCTTTATAAAAATGCACTTTCCACATTTTGCAAAATTAATGCAGAGAGAGTAAAGGAGCACGAGGCATTGTTTGCTCAGTTTAAAAATGAATTCCGATTCAGTTACTTATTGAATGTTATGTGTTACTTATTGGATTTGTTTGCTCAATTTCAGAATGTTATGTCATGTCTAACTTCTTGGATTTGTTTCCAAATTCAGAATTTTATGTTATGTGTTTTAATGTTTGAAATATTTGCAATGAAACATATGAAATTTAAAGAACTAGTTATAACAATTTAAATAAATGTTATGTAACTACTAACTAGATCCAGATAGTCTATTCCATTCTGCTATACTAGAATGGTACTCATCTTCCCAGCCTACAACATCATTGTCACGCCACCTAATCCAATAAGGATGTATAGGAGGTATAGGAAAATCACTACCAAAACAACATAAATGTATGATCTACACTGCCGAGGTGAACAACCACAATTTCACGAGTTGGTCTTACGGCCTTTCCACGATCAGTAATGGGCAACACTGTCGTACAATAATAACCCAGATCCCCGTCTAATGAAGCCCCGAGACCGTACAGAAAAACTGCAGCATTTCAGATAGTAGCAATGGCGTATAAGTCTTACATGCATTCCATATAATAGCTCCGATTGCATCCACCTACCAGCCACCTTAACCGTCTTATATTTTGTTCCCTTTCGTAGTAATACGGAGCATCCCATAAATCAGGCCATGTAATAAGATCTTGAATAATTCTTGTTCGTACCCACGGCCATTCCTCTACTGAATTGCAAACATACTCTGCCACACACCGGAACCCATAGTTCTCATATGCCCTCACATCAAGGTATCCTCGAACGAAGGGAACTATAAAAGACGGAATAGATTGTCGAAACTGATATAAATGAAAATCCGTCCTCCAACCTCTTTGCTCACCTAAAAAAATAACAATATTCACGTTATGTAATTGTCATTTTAAATGTTTAAAAATAAAATGTGACATCAAAAAAAAAATTCAAAACATTCTTACGACTATCATCGTATGTAGGCGAGGATGTGCTTATGCGAGATTTCCCTGAACCAACAGTATACTTCTCCCAATAACACCATTTCCGCGGGATATTCGCTTTCGGACGCCCTTTAACACTCGTCTTCACTGCAGGTTCCTCGAAACTCATTTAATCATGTTGTTGCTCTTGTTCCTTGAAACTCATCTGCTCATGGTGTTCCTCTTCTTCCAACTCATGGTGCAGAAACTCATTGACGCGGCTAAAAAATTCAGGCCTCTTGTTGAACGCCTTAAGGGAAAGCTCTATAAAAATCGTACGCTCCTCTGACACAAAAGGTTGAGTATTATCACTTGGGGCCGAATCAGGTGTCGCACTTATAAAATTAAGTCTGCTCTAAAAAGGGTGGAGGTCGGCAACTGTAATGGGCACTTGCAACTCCCTTTTCTGTTTAAGCTCACATGCACAAGGGATTTCATGGGTCGTTCTCAACACACAACCACAAACATCATCCTCACCCAATTGCCGCATGCGAGTATACTCACTTTGAAGAATGTCCAAACAGTAATGTGAGACACGTCTACCTAGACGGTCATAGGAAAACTGAAGGTGCTCTCTCCTCGAACGGCGTTCTGATTCGGTTAGACGGAACCTACATTTTAAATTCCTCACTATTTATATAAGAACATTGGTAATTAAGTATTAAAAATCAAATTAAACAACGAACGAATTACGTACTTGATCTTAGTTAACTGATACTCGATCGCTGCGTGGATTCTGGTCCATATTGTAACTAGGTGACTGGTCGCCGAGTTAAGAAACCTCTTCATGGAACTATGGGCGTCTCCACTCTACTTTACTTGTGTTTCTAAGGTGTGTCACCCCATTTTTCCACGAACGAGCCCACTTCTCCTTATGAACTAATCAAGTATTCTTGACATAGTCCACCAACTTTGTATAAGCATCAGCCGTTGGGTGCCTGTAGTACGATATATTAATCACAGCCATTTCATGAAAGTAATCAGTAGGATCATTCAGTATCAGATCGAACATCTCCTTCTTCCACCAGTTCGCAAATTCCTTTCCAAAATGCCGTCGTGCTATTTCAAAAACACATTGGTTGATGTGCCACACGCACAGAAGATGTGCAGAATCTGAAAATATCAACCTGATTGGTTCTGCCAGCCCTAACTCCCTGTCTGTCACTATGGCACACGGGTTCACCTCCCATCTTGATAGAGTCCATAAATTGTGTTTTAATTGTTGATATTTTATTAGTTTATGGACTCGGATGGATTTAATTCTTTGGTTTTGTTATTATTTCATGTTAGGAGCTGGAAATAAGAGATTGGAGCTGATTTGGATTAATTTGGACGTCCAGGGACTTAAATGCAAAATTAAAGAAGTTTTGAGTCAAAAATTAAAATACTGTAAACTTGAGGGACCAAAGAGGCAAATCGTGGACTAATTCTTCTTGTTTTATGCGGCTGACCTAATTTCTTAAAGAGGCAGTCGTGGGTTACGTTTTTGGCCATGGTTTTGCAAAAAGCAGCCGCGCGTAGGAAAAAAAGCTAGCACCTCCCACCTTTTTGTTTTTTTCCGAACTTTCATTATTTTTCATAGAGAATAAAGCCGCCATGTTTCCATCCATGAGTGGCTAAGGATTTTCTTTCTGATTCAAAGGATTTATTCAATTATTCCATTATGAGGTTTTGTTCTTAATTTATTGTTCTTCTTATGATTTAAGTATTTGTTGATTCTTATATTGAGTTATGAAAGTAGATATCATTCAAATTGACAACTTGATTTGTTATTTATTTTCTCGTGCTATCTGCTAGTTGAATGTTACGTAATAGACAAGAACTGGCGATCTTGAGTAGCAATTAGACAAAGCATGTGTATTGGTGAGACATTGAATATGCATGTTAGTTTAAATGTGGAATCAATGAGTCAAAGTCTGAATAGTTGTAGCTATCTCAATTGTTTAGATTTTGGTTCAACTATATTTCCTTGGTTTTTATGCTATCATTGTTTGGTATGAAACGCTATCGTGCCCAGCCGAATTATGATAAGGATTAATTGAGTGCTAGGCTTGGTTAGTTAATTTAGGGAGATTAATTGATTTATTACGGCTATCCTAATAGATCTTTAGTTGAATGCTTAAATTGCAAGAGTAGTTTTAGTAGCCTATGATTAATGAAATAATTGAGTTATCTGTTCCTTGAGTCAGAAGTCTGTTACTTTGATTTCTTTTCTTTTATTTAGTTTCGTTATTTGTATTTCATTATCTTAGTTTAGAAAAACAATCCAAAAATCTCCTTTGCATTAATTTGAAGGAAACAATCCATCGTTCCCTGAGGAGACGACCTTACTTCCCTATATTACAGTAGTTTGAAGTAGGTTATTTTATTTGTGTGGCTTGACACCCCATCACATCTAATCAAATTCCGAAGCTGCTGACATGCCCAAGTATAACTACTCTTCTTCTCATCCTTCATAATTACGTATCCAATTAGAAAATTCTTGTTGGTTGGAGTCATCCCAATAATTTATAACAGCGGCATATTATACATGTTTGTTATATAAGTAGTATCCATACCAATATACCACGGGTGTGCTCGGATCAACTCTACAGATACTGGATGTGCACAGAAAATATGAGTCAACACACCTTTTTCATCAACCGTAGTAATCACATGTATTGCTAAGCAATGTCAAAGAAGTGATCCGCCACCCTTTTTTCCGCCTGCATTCTACTCTTGTAATTGTATATCTGTTTGATCACAATGTGCTCGTGCGGGCATTTCTGCTGAATCGCCCGCAGCATTGCAGACGGTTTTACTTAATGGCAGTCAAGTCGTCAACAATCGCCTTTGATTTATCATTAAGACAGCTCATCTACATCTGTCCCTCCTCGAAGCTGCCAAACAGGTGGTTATGCATACCATTACGACCGGGATATGAACGAATCCCAAAAGTATATTCGCCTGGGCGAATTTGGGCTAGAAGCCGGAACGGGCATCCACAATACTGCGCCTTTGTTTCTCGCACCCGATTCTCTGTATCTCTAGGCGGAACACCCTTTGGACATCGTAATAATTTCTTACTCTCATCTGTCTACGACGCCTTAAACACTGTGAAATTAAGAGATATCGCAGTCTTTTTCGCCCATAACACAACTTCCTCAATAGTTGCGAATCTTATGTTAGTATTAAAATGATGACTGTAATCAACACTGTCACCACCATAATCCTGTAAATGAAATATATCAAATTTGAAAAAATGCAATACATAACAAAATTAAGACTGGCCAAATATTGGACAAATCAAAATATTTTATATTAAGGACCAGAGGAAGTAATTTTTACGTTTCATGTACTCTTATTTGGCCATTTTTCCTTTAACCATTTTCATAGATTGTTCCATGTTTGTTGAAATGTTTAAGAGATTTATTTATTCTTTTAGCCCCAAAATCTTAATAGGGTTCTGATGTATTTATATACTTTTAAATCAAAAAAAAAAAAAAAAGAAGCGGGGGAAAGTACCATAAATTAATGTCATAAGTGTAATTGTAAAACAGGAGCTAGAAATTTGAACTCTATATAGTATATAACAAAGAAGCATTTAACAATTTTAGTTTTTTTTTTCTTTTTGAAATGGAACAATTCTAGTAGATACTATAAAAAAAAAAAAAGCCGATAAAAAGAAACGGGAAAATAGTTCGTGCTCTATTTTTTTAATTTAATATTAGCTACCTTGAGGTTTTAATTTCTGTAAAAATTATTATTTCTTCATTTTTTTTCATTAAAAGTGACATCAGCAAAGAAATTCCGGGTAAGCAGCCTAATTTGGAAATAAAAGTATATGCCGCCGATGCCTAATGAATCTCATCCGTTAGATACGACTCCTAATTCTCATCCGTCCGATCAAGCTTCACTTCCCATATCTCTATATATTGCCGCCATTACCCAGTAGAATTTCCATCATCAATTCAGCGTTTCAGACAGAAGTTTCCTGATTCCAATTGAGATCTGAAATTCTGTTGGATCGATTTTTCATCCCTGCTTTCTTCCTAGGTTTTCTTACATTGGTAATCGAATCAAGTTTTGTTCTCCGAATTCTCGTACGCCCCCGAACTGAAAACCCCATTCAGTTTTATCAAATTTCATCTGCTTTTCTTCTGGTGTTCTTGTTTAGGTTCACAAGGAAACAGAGTACTCGAAGAACCCATCAAGCTTCCGGTTCATCTTTCAATACAGTTTGTCTTAAAGACTCAATTTTTATCGATTTAGGTCATTAGTCTAATCAATTCTCTCAGATTTTTATCGATCTAGCCTTCTGAATTTCGTACCCATTAAGGTATTCTCTTAGGTCTTCTTAAAAGTGGTTTTTTTGGGGTTTAAAAAGAGAAGATGGAATCTGTTGTTGTTGGGTGTCGATTTCAACCGACTGACGAGGAGTTGGTTTCGCACTATTTAAAGAAGATGATTTTAGGGCTTCCATTTACAGAAGAGGAAAAGACATTCTTCACTGCAAAACATCTGTACGGTGATAATGCCACCCCTTGGGAATTATTAACTGAAGATCTTCCATGGCATAAGGTGCTCAATTCCAATCGAGACATTGAGTCTCAGAAAGTCATTTATGTTTTCACTTTCCTCACTAATGTTGCCCAGAAAAATTCCAAGAACCGTAAGAACAAAAACAGAGTAGCTGGTTGTGGCACTTGGAATGTTAACTCTTCCGCCAAGCCAGTCAGGGACAATTGCGGATTCGGAAGGAAAATCGGAGAATGTAAGAATTTCACCTTTGAATCTGCAGAACAAACTGTTGGGCAGTGGACCATGACTGAGTATTCCATCGATGCAGCCGCCAATGGGATTCCGGAGGTGGAAGGAATTAATTGCTCTGACTATGTATTGTGCAAGATAAAAAGGGATGATTCAAAATCGTCCAAGGGAGGAAGAATTGTGTCTCGCAAGAGAAAGAATGAGATTATGCTGCCTGAAGAAGCGGGACAGAGTTTCACAAAGAAGATGAAATCAGTGAGCAGAAAGGAGGAGGACATGAGTGTCTTGAGCAATGAGGATGATGATTCTGCAGCCATAGTGATGAACAATGAGGAGGCTGGAGTTTCTTCTTATGGATCATTGGATTGTGGCACTGCTGTCCCTTGGCTGATGAATGCGGCGAATTCCGATACTTTAGCAGCTGCTGCTGGTCCATCCACATGTTGGAACTGCATTCCGGACAATGAAGCATTTTGTTTCAGTTCAAACTTTCAGAGTACTGATTTGGATCCTTGGTTGAAAGAGCTGGAAGCTTTTTAGTCGATCTTGACTCGTTTGGCTGTTAATCTAATCTATTAGATGTTAGACCCTTTGTTGAGCTTTTGTGCAGATTTGCCTCAGGGTGTATGTTAGAGTTGGCTAAATTAGTGATACTCATTTGTGGCGGTCATAAAATTTTGTAATTGTTCATATGAGACTGCCTCTTACTTTATTGTGTATTGCCAATATTAAATTACAGTGTGAGTTATGAATGATATCCCTTATTCTTTGATTATTTTGTATTTGATTGACAGTTTAAAACTCTTTTTTGATCTGACCTTAAGAAACTTCTATACTAAAGCTAAATTCTTCTTCCAATAACTGTCACTCGCTAGGTATGTTGAGGCTAGTTAAGGTTGTGAATGCATGAAACATAATCATATTCTTTCATTCACATTTTCCCATTAGCGTCAGAAAATTGACGCTGAATAGGTTGAAACTGGAATGGAGTCTCGCATCAGTAATAGGGCCATTGCCTAATCTCGAGGTTCTCAAACTAAAGAGGAACGCATTTTAATGGGAATTTGCAACTCAAGGAGTTGGGAATTTGAAGAATGGAAAGTCCAGTTCCCAGCCTTGAACGACTTATAGTGAAACGCTATCACAAACTTGCGGGATTGCATCCAGTTTGGGAAACATTCCAACCTTGGAGAAGATAAAGATGGATGAGTGTCCCCAAACTTCAACATCAGCCTGGGAATTTTTCATGGAACAGCAAGAACTTTAAAACAATGTTCTTGAACGTGTTCTTGATGTCCCTTATTATGGTGAAGAAGAATAAGAAAATGATAATGGTGAAGATGATGATGAAGAAGAAGAAGAAGAGGACGATGAATGAACAGAATAAACTGTTTCCTTTTGCTCAACTCTGTGTTTGCGTTGGAATTTCTGTAAGTCAATGAAATTCAAGACAAAATGATACCCTTACTTCTTAACAAGTGTAGATGTTATTAGTACTCCGTCCCTTCCAACTTGTTTATCAAACTACCTTAGTAAAACAAATAAGAATCTTATTTTGGGTCCAAAGCAGAAAAAATTTGTATAAACTCCATGTAACATTCACTTTAACAAGCAAAAAAGGTGTTTCGTCTCAAAAGTTTGAAGGAACAGACATCGCACTTTGTTTTGAATGATGAACTATGTATACAAAAAATAGGTAAAACTTGTAAAGGGTTACCTTCAGCAGAGATTTTGTCGGAACCAATTATTTGCTGGAGAAATGAAGAAAGCGTGGAGTTATTTAGGGCTTTAAAAGCTCAAGCCTAATCTTTATCACAACGATTCCTACAAGTTTCCAGAACTGAGAATCAGCCTGAGTCATCTCGTAGCAGTGAGCGTCTGGTCCCTTGATCACGTAGAAAACAATGAGTTTCCAGCTTTTAAATTTCGATTTTCCCAGTAGTCTCAGAAAATTGGCCACGGAAGAGTTGCAATGGCGTCTCATTTCAGTAACCAGGAAGTTGCCTAATCTGGAGGTTCTCAAATTCAAGTGTAATGCTGTTAAAGGAAGCATATGGGATTTGGAAGATGTTCAATTCTTGAACACTAAGGACTTGAAATTCATAGAGTCAGACATTGAAGTGAGGACTGTCCAAGACGGCTCATTCGCCAGCCTTGAACAACTTACACTGAAATCTTGTCACAGACTACGCAGGATTCCATCCAGTTTGGAAAACATGCTTACTTTGGAGTGGATACATAAGTTTGACTGCCCTCAAGCCTCAAGATCAGCCTGAAAAGCTTTTATGGAACTTCTAGAAATGGAAAATGGTATCCTGAAGTTTGTGGTTGATATTCGTTATGTTGATGATGGAGTTAATGAAAGATAAAATGATAGTGATTGATGATGAAGAAGAAGAATGGAACGAGCAGAATTATGGTCCCTAGATCTATGTTTCCTACACTTAGTGTTTCGTCAGTTAGGCCCTGCAGTAGTATAATTCTCTCAGGTGTAGAAAAAACTCACCATCATCAGCATTCCCTCGCTGAAGAATTTATTTTCTGGAACAGGAGCAAATAATAAATCCATGTTAACTAAAGCTCTGAAACTACCAATAATCTCGGCATGAACAGGTTCCATCTCTAAAATGGTGGAATCTACTCCGATCTCTCACTACAATTTCCCTTCGATAAACTTTTGACACTAGCTTGATAGCCAAATGGCAATCTGCACAGATCCTCAAGTTCTTCACTACTCTGATTGGGGTTCCTGGAGGTGTATTAATCAGCATAAATGCAATTGCAATCTTCTCGCTATGATAAGAAAGAGCAGTCTCTTTCTCCTCATTCTCAATGTCTGAGAGAACATTTGCTGTATGCGGCACATAACCTTCCAAAACTAGTAATCTTGTCATTTCAACAAGCTTTGCATAAATCTCTTGTGTCTGAGGATGTGATCTGTCTCCCATGACAAACTCGTGTATGCAGTTCCCTAATTCAACAAGACTATGACCTGGTACCTTCCTAACACCCTCTTTAAACATTGTCCTCCTTACTTTATGAGCATCCCCCCAACGTCTTTCAGATGCATACAGATTTGAAAGCAACACATAATCTCCAGAATGGTTCGGCTCCAAGACCTTAATTTGCTCCCTAGCAAATTCTCCCAAAGTCACATGCCCATATATTGAACAGGCTCCGAGTAAAGTCCTCCAAATCACTGCATTGGCTGGCATAGGCATTTTCTGTATATACTCGTACGCTTGTTTCACTAAACCAGCTCGACATAACAAATCAACCATGCAACCATAGTGCTCAATCTTGGGGGCAATACCAAACTCCTTCTTCATCCTCTCAAAATAAGCAAAACCTTCGTCTACCATCCCGCAGTGACTACAAGCATACAACACCCCGACAAAGGTGATTTCCGTAGGCAGCAAACCCCGTTCCTCTAGCTTCTTGAAAAGCTCAAGTGCGAATTCACCGAACCCGTTGACAGCCAATCCAACAATCAGCGAAGTCCAAGAAACCACACTCTTCTCCTCCATCTCGTCAAACACCCTCTCTGCCTCCCTAATGTTCCCACACTTGGCATAAAGATCCAGCAACGCGTTAGCAGCATGCAAATTCTTGTCCAAACCAGATTTTATCATGTACACATGAGCTCGCCGGCCCAAAGCCAAGGCCCCAAGCTCGGCACAAGCTGTCAACAGACTAACCAACGTGAACCCATCAGGTCTAACATCCTCCGCCAACTCCATTTCTCTAAAAAGGGTCAACGCTTCATTAGGCCTGCTATTCAAAGCATACCCATTTATCACCGAATTCCAAGCAACAAGATTCTTTTCAGACATAAACTCAAACAGCTTATGTGCACTCTCCGCTCGACCACAAGCACCATAAAAATGCACCAGAGCATTCTCCACAAAAACCAACGACACAAACCCATTTTTCATCACAACCGAATGCACCTTCTCTCCCTCTCTAACCGCAAGTAATTTGGCAATAGCCTTGAGCAAGAAAGGATACGTATGAGTATCGGCTTCCACCGAGGCCGCAATCATCTGGCGGTGGATTTCAACGGCTGGATTTGGATCTTCACTCTCAGCATAGCCTCTGATCATCGTATTCCAGGTAAATATATTTGGGATTTCGATCTGATTAAAGATTTCCCGAGCATAAGACAAAACCGGCCGGCCACCGCCACCGGGACGCCGGACTGAAGCAAGGGAAACAAGGGTGAAAATCAAGTGTTTGCCCAAGTCGGGATTGCCCAAAGGGACTCCATGCCTGATGGAAAAGGCGTGAACTTGCCTCAGCTTGTAGTAATTTGTGGAGGCGCATGCGAGTAGCAGAGCTATACATTTCTTGACAATGGCCGGTTTTTCGTGCATTTCATTTAGCTAATAAGCTTATGAGCGGGTGGAATCTGACGATTTAAAAACGGCCGGAAAGGCCAACTTCGAGAAGTCTTGCAAAGTTGTACCCACATTTTCTTTTATTTGGGTTCAGAAAAAGCCCAACTAAAAAGTTTCGTCGTATCAGTTTTTGCGTCAACTTGCTGCTCCTCTCGTCCTAAAAGAATAATCCAGTTTGAAGATATACAACTTTTTTAATTTGGTTAACACATCAAATGTACAACTCATTTTATGCCCCTAACTTTCACTAATACCCCTTCTAGTTATTTATATAAAAGTTAACTACATATACATTTATTTTACAACTTAAATTTGATCAAAATTTTTATCTAAAAAAATATTAACAATGGATCTTGATGGAAAGATCTCGTTACGTAGATGAATTTGATATATAACACATTTTTTTAATTATTCATGTATAATTATTTGAAAAAATATGAGAAAACTAAAAAAAAAAATTAAAAATCAAAGGAAGTGTACATTATTTTCCTTACCATTATTTTTTTAGATATTTAAGTCATTTCAATTCAATTAATTTTGACTTTTGTGGAATTTGACTATTATTTTGGGACAAAATTTTTTATTAAACTGGACTATTTTTGTGGGATGGAGGGAATACTATGAAAAAGAAAAAATCCACGCACAAAATTTCCAACCATAAAAAATTGCGAAGTTTCAAAAAGACAAAGTTCTAAAAGAAAAATAAAAATTATTGTTCATTTGCACGTATAAGAATGTTGTAAAATTCATTTCAGCATTCAAAAAAGAAAATACGATGAAAAGCATTATTGTACGATAATAAAAGAATTTTTTATTCAAAAACATTATCATTCTTTATCTTAATTCCGAGATGGAAAAGTTATAAAGCTTATAGCAAGACATTGCCAATAATGCAACATTATCATTGTAAGAGTATCTCCGTCAATGATATAATTTGAGTATAATGTCAGATGAATTACGCGCTGCACCCAATGAAATGCGTTAAAAAAAATTTGTGCACACAAATAGTCTTCAACTCAGAATTGGCCTTTTTTCAATAATAAAAAAAAAATGCTGGTTCAGCCACACACATGGGGACAGCCGCAATTCCATTCATTTTTTTTCTCTCTATCTTTTTTCTTTTTGTTTCAGCCCCGTTAATATCTCATTTTTTCTATTTTGGAATGTTTTGTCATTTTATCTAGCAAAATCTTAAAAATGAAAAAATCTTATCCAAAATTTGCAAATCTTAAAAACATCAATACAAAGGATAAAAAAATCTGCAAATTTATCCAAGATCTGACAAGTTCATCTATATGAATTGATTAAAAAGTAATAAATTTTTTAAATTAAAAAATATATACAAAAAAAATTCTATAAATACAACCAATCTAATTTTTCTATATCACATCTTCTTCCTCTTCTTATACTCTTCTCATCCATCATGGATAAAAGAAAAAATAAGAAATCTCCCAAAGTGATGAAATCCGTCTCCTCCTTTCAATAATCCTAATCAAAATTTTCATTCATCTCTGTCCCAAAATTTTCAGCCTAATATGTAAAATTTTGGGTATCCACAAAATTTTGGTGTCCAAAATCTTCCTTCAATTCATGAAAGTTCATCAAATTTCTCAAACCCATTCATGATGTATTAACCACCCATTCATGAATTGGGAGAAATTAGATTAACTTTCATGAATTGGAGGAAGATTTTGGACACCAAAATTTAGTGGATACCCAATATTTCGCATATTGGGCTAAATATTTTAGGGTGGAAATAAGTGAAAATTTTGGTAAGCATTATTGAAGGGAGGAGATGGATTTTCATCACTTTGAGAAGATTCCTTGTTTTTTTTTATTCATGATGGATGAGAAGAGTATAAGAAAGTGAAAAAGATGTGATATAGAAAATTGGATTGGCCATATTCATAAAAAAAAAAATTTGTACAGAATTTTTAATTTTAAGAAAATACTTTCTTTAATCAGTTCAAATAGATGAACTTGTCAGATTTTAGATAAATTTGCATGTTTTTTATTTGTTGTATTGATGTTTTTATGATTTGTAGATTTTGGATTAAATTTTTTCATTTTCCATATTTTGTCAGGATAAAATGACAAAAGATTCTTAAAATAATAAAAATGGGATATCAACAGTCAATCTGAAATAAAAAAAAAAAACTAGAGAGAGAGAGAGAAAATGGATGGAATTGTTGCCGCTTCCTCATGTGTGTGGGTCATGTCAGCTTTTTTTTTTAATGGAAAAAGAATGCCAATTCTGCGTTTAATACTGCTTCTGTGCACAAAATTTTTGAACGCACTCTATTAAGGGCATTCACAATAATAGTATAATGTGAGTTAAATGTCAAAACTAAAATTTTGACTATTGATGTATGTTGTGTAATGTTGTCAGTTGTGCAAAATATATTGCATCGGTGAAACTGACAAAAGTGGGCGCTGGCGGGCCCATCTCATGGCCGATGCCCCATTCATTTTTTTTGTTTTATTTCTTTTTTTTAAATTTTTTTTTTAAATATGCCGTTTTGTCCTCTTCAACATCAAAAACAAAATTTCTTTATTTTTGTGACCGTTATAAGTCCCTTTTTTTTTGTCTTCTTCACAGCATCTCCAAAAAAAGTTTCTTCATTTTGGTTGTCAAATTTGTGGCCATAGAAATTTTTTGAATGTTGAAAAAATTAGCTGTTTCTAAATGTTTGCACTATAATTTGATAAATTTTTTTAAGAGAATAATTTAAAATTTTGCCTACAAATACCCCCAATATTGATTTTCATAACACACCACTTTCTCTATTTTTCCTCTCTTCTATACTTATAGTTCTTTCTTTACTACACATCAACTATTCAATTTTTTCCTTCTATTTTCTACTACCATGAGCCGAAAAAATAACAAAAATCATCCTACAAACAATGCAAATTTGTCTCACAATTTTCCAAATTCCCCCCGGCCCCAAAATTTTCGATATCCTCAAAATTTGGGTACCCCAAATTTGCCTCCTTATGTCCCAAATCCATTCGTGATGTATCAACTGCCCGGTTATTTTTCTCAAATGATTGGAAATAATTTTCCAATGGGATTTACAAATACGGGTTCGTCTTCCGGAAGTCTACATACACCGGTTTCAACAAGAGGAGACGTTCGAGACGATGACTCTCCAAATGCAACGCCAAGGGCATCAACTCCCCAAGATTATTTTCCACAATTTTCAACTCAATTTTGTTTGGATAATATTTCTTTATCGCAAGCACCAGAAAAAGAAAGTACTTTAAATTATCAAGGTTGGAGCAAGGAGGAAGACATACTTCTGGCTCGTGCATGGCTCACGGTTTCTAACTGTAGCGTTACAGGAAACTACCAAGATATGAAGGAATTTTGGAAGAAGATTACTACCTACTACAATGCAAACCGAGGATCTTTACCTCAAAGAGAACAAGGTAAGTTAAAGTCTCATTGGTTTTGGTTTTCAAAGTATGTCAATGAATTTAACCAACACTACAATAGACTATGGAATGAACACCGTAGTGGGTGGAGTGATGATTCTGTAAGGGATGCAGCTCATGAGGTATATTACCAAATTAAGAAAAAATATTTTGTGCATGAGTATGTGTGGAAAATTGTGAAAGATAATCCAAAATGGGCAGCTGTTTCTACCGTTGAAGAGTAATCAAAGAGATCAAGAATCAACGAATCCGGATCATACACTTCATCATCAAATTCTGATCGAAATGTTGAAATCAATGAGATCGAAGAGGAGGTTCGCCCAATAGGCCAAAAAGCAGCCAAGAAAGGAAAGCGGAAGTCAAAAGAAAAGGCAAGGCACGGGATGATGACGATGAACTTGTTGAACTTCGACAAAAAATGATGGATTTGGAAGCCAAACAATTAGAGCAACAAGAATTTTACAATCAGGCGTACATGAGGCATACGGTTACCAAAGAATATGAAATTTTGACGAAGAACACCTCGAATATGACACCAGAACAACGAGCAAGACATGAACTTTTAGTTGAAAAAATCTTGTCTAATTATAGATAGTCATGTTAGATTATTATTTTGAATTAGTTATTTTCATTGCGATTTTTTAGTTTTATTTAAACTAAAAGGTAAGAGTTGTGTCACTGTATTTGAATTTTATTACATCATGTTATTGTGTTTTAAATATGAAGTATTATTATGTTTACCGCATCGTATAATTATTATTGTACAACTTATAATTAATTGCATGAAAAAAGTAAAAAAATATAATAAATTCGAAACAATCTAGAAAAACTCAAAAAACTCATAAAAAATTAAGTATTAAATACTTTAAATGAATAAATACATTGATGATGTAGTTACTTCATTGTTTTTTCATTTGTCCATACGTACCACAGTATAGTCACATCTCTCTTTTTATCTTGTCCATTAAATACATTGATAGTGTAGTCACGTCATTCTTTTTTCATTTGTCCATAGGTACTATAGTGTAGTCACATCTTTCTTTTTATCTTGTTCATTAAATATATTAATAGTGTAGTCACGTCATTCATTTTTTATGTGTCTATACGTTACCATAGTGTAGTCACATCTCTCTTTTTATCTTGTCCATTAAATACATTGATAGTGTAGTCACGTCATTCTTTTTTCATTTGTCCATACGTACTATAGTGTAGTCACATCTTTCTTTTTATCTTGTCCATTAAATATATTAATAGTGTAGTCACGTCATTCATTTTTTATTTGTCTATACGTACCATAGTGTAGTCACATCTCTCTTTTTATCTTGTCCATTAAATACATTGATAGTGTAGTCACGTCATTCTTTTTTCATTTGTCCATACGTACCATAGTGTAGTCACATCTCTCTCATTATCTTATCCATACATTGGATATTATAATCAAATCTTTTTTTGATCTTGTTGCAAGTACACTCTATAAATATGGAATGAGACTAGTAATATTGTTCAAGCCTTTTCAACTCTTTGGTATGCATATATTTTGCAACAACTCTTCACACACGACCATGTCTCAAAATTCTCTTCCCAATTTTGATCCCTCTATTTTTGACGATGAAATGAATGATTATATGCGGGAACAAATCTTTGATAACACGGGTCTAGAGGATTTAAGGAGGTTGGATGAGTTG